TCATGGCATTCTAAGAAACAAGCATGTGTTGCTTTATCTACCACTGAAGCTCGAATATATTGCAGTTGGTAGTTGTTAGTGCTCAAATTCGTGGATGAAACAACAATTATAGGATTATAGCATATATTTAAATGACATTCCATTAATGTGTGATAATACGAGTGCAATCAACTTAACTAGAAATCCAAGTAATGCACTCTAGGACTAAACATATTGAGATTAGACATCACTTTTTAAGAGATAATATCAAGCAAAGGAAACCGTAAGATAGAGTATGTAGACACTAAACGTCAATTAGCAGATATATTTACTAAGCCTCTACCCAAGGATAGATTCTATGATCTTAGAAGAGACTTAGGGATACTAGAAATAGCTTAAATTCTCGCTTAATTTGAATGATTTTGGATGATTGTTATGATTAAATTCGTGATGCGAGATATTCATAGGTTATAATGTGTAAAAACCTTAAAAAACTTAATATAGCCTCCGGAATAATCGATTCATCGGAAGTGATAATCGATTATTTTTCCTCAAAACGTCCAAAACAGGGTATTCTCCTTCGGAATAATCGATTATCTCGTGAAATAATCGATTAAATGCCTCTAAAAATCGATTATTTACTGGAAATAATCGATTAAAGTTGTCTAATGTAGAGATAATTGATGAATTTTCTTTTGTTATTGTCTTGATGTTGTAAAATATGATGTTTCTTTCATGCTATGATTGAGGGGGAGCTTTCTCTAACTTATGCATATTTTGAGGGGGAGCTCTTATGATTGATGTTGCAGAGTTCTTTTTGATTATAATCAAAATAGGGGGAGAAAAATTTAAAGCCTATGATTCAATATTAAATGTTATCTGGTATGTTTAATGTGTTTGTTAGTATGACAGATGAAACAGAGTTATTACAAGGGCTTTAAAAAGATAATTTTGATCATCATCAAAAAGGGAGATTGTTGAACATTCAAGGACTTGATGTTGCAAATAATGATCATGAAGAATGTTGATTTTGATGATGATCCAAGAGCTTAAAGACTTAGAGTATTGAAGATTGAAGATTGATGATTTCTGTATTGTAATAACTCTGTTTTAGTTTGATTGAGTTTGTAATTATAGAGTCTAAGATAGCTCTGACATAGTCCGTAACTTAGAAGCTTCAAAATGCTCAAATTTATCATGCAGGCTCGGCTTTAATCGATTATATAGGGAAATAATCGATTAAAACAAGTGAGAAAACCATTTTCAAGCATATACTCACTGTTTTAATCGATTAAAACATCAAAATAATCGATTAAAAGGTCAAATAATCGATTATTTCACCAAATAATCGATTAAACCAGAGAGGATTGGGTTCTGCGTATTTGGCTCTGTTTTAATCGATTAAAACTCCATTTAATCGATTATTTCAGTCTGTTTTTGTTTTTAAATTTCAAATTAACCCTATTTTCGAAAACCCAATTACCAAGAACCCTAGTTTCGAAATCTCCAATTCCTTAACCCTAATTTCCCTACTTAAACTTTGCTTTGGCACTCAGAAAACAAGAACAACTCTTTCCATACAAAAGTTAAGTGCTGTGAGTGCCAGAGAACTGTTTGTTGCAAGGAAAGGGGGCTTTTGGAAACCTGGTGTGAGGCTAGAAGCGATAAGAATCACTAAGTGGAGTTCTTAGTGGATTGTGTGCTGTGCCGTCTCTAGGGAAAGTCGTTCTTCATCTCTTGTGGATTTCAAGAGAGGTGTTGTCTTTACTTTATCTCTTTGATTTGTAATCTGTTTATAACAATTTGTTCTTAGTGACGGCGTTAATCCTCTTTTGAGTGATTAGCAACTGGACGTAGGGTCTTTTGATCCGAACCAGTATAAACCTACTGTGTAATCTTCTCTACTCTTCTCTATTTACATTTACGCAGTTTTTAATCGGTAAAATTTGGGGAAAATTTTGAAAACCTAATTTTTATTAAGAAACCAATTCACCCCCCCTCTTGGTTTTTGTCCGACCACGCGAACATTCCGCTGCGCGATTCTAACATAGATTACCTTGTTTAATTTGCATATGTGATCAGACTTGGTTGAGTATGTATATCCTTCAAGTTGATGCATAAGCACAGTTTCTTTGAGATTGTCATTCAATAATGCATTATTTATGTCTAATTGCCTAACTTCCCAATTTAAATGTACTACAATAGATAGGATAATTCTTACAGTGTTGGATTTGATCACTGGGTTAAAGGTCTCATCATAGTCCAAACCTGTAGTTTGTTGAAAACTTTTGACAATTAATCTTGCTCTTCTTCTCTCAATTGAGTCATTTGCCTTGTACTTAATTTTAAAGATCTACTTTGAGTCTATGATGTTATTTTGCCCCTAAAATGATACCAATGTCCAAGAGTGATTAGCTGCTAGACCTTTAAATTCTACATCCATGGTTGCTTTCCATCTTGGATTGACTAGTACTTCATTAACATGTTTTGCTTCCATGTCCTCTGTGTGTCTATCAACCTTATATAGGTCAATTTTGGCTTGTAGATCTTTGTCTTGCTTCTGGTTTGCATCCAGTGTGTGTTGTCCTGTTGATTATTGTCTTCTGATGTGTTTATTGATGTGTCCTCTACTGAGGCTTCTACAACTGGTGTTTCATTTGCATGTAAGATTACCTCATGTGCATTGATAGAGATATCACTAAGTGCTAGTTGATTTTTATTGGCAACTAAGCTATTGAGAGTTGATTAATCTTCATTGGCAGCTAAGTCACTTTCATGATGGTTCACCTCATTGTTAGTTGATTCAAATATGTAACTTGTAGTGGTACTTGCAGGACAAGACGAAATAATAATATGTATTGTTCCAGTTCGAGTTTTTAATGAATTTCTTTTGTCAAGTAAGTCATCATGAAATGAAATGGAAATGGAAAGAACAATTCCTACCTTAGATATAATGATTACATATATTTTCTAATCTATTCCAACAAATAATAAAATATTAATATAATTATTAGAATTATATAATTATAACTTTCTCTAACTTTATGAAATAATAAAAAATAAATAAAAAATGGTAAGGATTTGAACATTAGGATTCAAATATTGGTTGGTGGTGGTAGCAATTGAAAAATGTTGAAATGACATAGCTTTTAAGTTCACTTTCAAGAAAAAAAAATCACTAGTAATTTGTTTCCATGGTACCATATAAAATATAAAATGAGAAAGTTAAAAAAAAAAAGTTTTTAAATTTATTTTTCTTATTATAAAATAAAACTAAAAAATACATTCATTCATGGTAGCCCATAATCAATTATGGATGTCCACGGACTACATGTGTTGGTATTTCTTTCTTTTCTTTTTCATTGTTACAAGTCATGCAATTTTTTTTTCTTTCCTTCTATTATTATATATTTCAATAAAACTATTAAAAAACTATTAAGTTGAAAAAGGCATTTATATCATCATTTGACGTCAATAATTACACCTTCTTTTTTTTTACGAAAAGGGTGTAATTAAAGAAATTATACTTAAAGAAATTACAAGTACGGTTTTGTTTTTTATTATATTTATATATAATCAGAAGAAAATATATTTATAGATACAATTCTATATTATTATTATTAAAATGAATCTGAAATTTTATGAAGAAATACTATTTTAATTGAAAAAAATTATTGTATTATCAAAATAAAATTGGAATTACATGAACTAATACGATTTCTGTTGGAATCGTCGTTGATTTAAAAAAGTAATAATAATAAAATACTAAATTGTATATACATGAATTCTTTTAAATAAAAATAGTTTTTCATGTACGATTTGTATTTTTTTTAATCTACCAATTTTAATAATTTGAAAAAGTTTCACCCTTTTAGTAAAAAAAAAAAAAAAGAAGTTCGTAATTAATTTTTTCATTGTATGGTTACACTAATTGGGCCATGTATACGATCATCCAACTCTATGATATACCAATTTCATGTGTGAACAAATTTCATTTTTAATAATTATTCATTAAGTAATAAATAAGAAAAGTCAAAGATATCATAATTTTCTTTTATAAATTGTTCCTAACAAATTAGTAAGCAAATATGGTCAAATCCCTAGATGCTATTTCCTAGTGCCCATAGACCAAACAATTTGATTTTATTTTAATATTTAATCTTACAAATTAAAAATAACAAATATGAAGAAATTTTTACCTCCAGATGAAGTCTACTTGTCTTATAACTTGAAGACAAAGAAAAGAGTAACTTTGAACATTTTTAAGAGTCAAAGATTAATGAATCATAGAGTTTTGTTTTGTTTTTTTTAATCAAATTATACAAGTTATCCACACACATTTTTCTTCTTTTTCTTTCTCTAGACATTTTTCCAATGGTGATTACTTGTCCTATCCTACTGATTTATTTTAGTAAATTTCTAAATAAAGTTTTTAGGGAGTTTTTATTAAAAATTATTTAAGAATAAATATAAATATTTATTATAAATTTTAAATATGTATTAGTTAATATTTAGTTAGAATTATTTATATAAATAATTTTTTTTATTTATAAATAATTTTCTCTATTTTTAAATAATTAAAAATGAGAACTATAATAAAATATTTATTCTTATTCTAAGTGATTCTTATTAACAACTTCACTTATATCCTCTTTGTTTTAAAAATATTTTTTTTTAATGTATTAGGGTTATACTCAATTTTATTCTTTCTCAAACACAGTCACATATATTAGGAAAAGTACTTGAGATCAAATTGCATAGGAAAATTTCAGGTTCTAGATACTTCTTATCCAAGATAGATTAATTACTAATTAAGTTGGTTTAACCGACGACAGTTTGTTTAACTATCCGATTATTTCTTAGAATAATAAAGTGACGAAACCATCCTCTTAAGTTATAAATTCTAATCCAGTTTTAGGGTTTGTATAATATTGGGTTTCAAGTGATAATCTGAAATGTGACGTTTTGCAGTGTTGACAAGGTCGTTAGTATAAACTTTGATGAAACAAAACGACGACAACATGTTCGTTGACTCGAGCAGAGGGATGACACGTGGCGAGGACCGGCTTAACCTACTCCCGTACGTGTTGACGGAAGGAATTGTGGTGGTTGGGCACACGCACACCGTTCGATCACCGTGGTTTTGTCTTGGAACGCACACAAAGTTTGAGTCCAAGTTACTTGGAATAGTTTTTCAACCACAAGAATAGAAATTAAGGATTGCTCTATCCCAAAAACACATGATCCCCACGGTAACCACTGCACTCTGGTCCCACCCTAATCTAGTTATCTTCACTCCAAGAGCATTGTTGACAATACCCTAATCTAATTCTGATCAATTCATGCTTTTCATTTCTTAATTAAATACATAAGATTCACATTAGGGTGATGTCACTTTAAATATAAAATAAATTACGTTCCAGATAATCTTTAAATGTTAGTTATGAATAAGATTGATTTTATTAATCTAGGTTTTTAACTTATAATCTAATTTTTTCTCTTTATTTTTATCAAGTTAATCTTGTATTTATTATGTCATTGTTATGTCATATAAGAGTGAAGTTTTGAATTATCCCATAAAAATAGATTGAGATTAACTAACTCATCTTAATCACGATGAGTTTAGAGTTCAGATATGTTAAATAACAAACTAATATATCTGTCAACTATTTTTTTATAATATATATTATTATTATTATTATTATTATTATTATTTTCCTTTGATTTACATTCAAACTTGCATGTTATTTGACTTATTTTTTAGTTCCCACTCTGACAATAATGCAAGAGGGAAATACTTTACCTTAGAAGTTTCTTTTGGAAGGGATAGAATTCCCTCGTGTTACACTACAAACCAAATCATAGGAATGAAGCTTGTCCCATACATAACTAAGTTTTCAAATTTCCTAACTTCTCATACAAGACTAATAGTTGTGTTAAAAAATCCAACCAATCTAAAAAAAATATCGAAAATTGATAAAAAGTTGAAAGTTAATTAAAATTAGTTTTTTTTTTTAAAATCGATTAGTTTAATTTTATTCTCAGTCTGATAGTCGAAAACAAAATTAAACTGAAATGTAGTTGTTAATTTTTATATTAAACATAAAAATATATAAAAATAAATTAATAATGTTTTTATAATATATTTTTATTAAATAATTATTTTATTATAATATGTTTAATAATTTTATAATAAAAAAATCATAAAATCCATTTAAAATAAAGCGTAAAATATTAGTTTAGTTTAATAAAAAAAATCTAAAAATAGAAAATCAAACTTCATTAAAAAAATTATTTGATTTAGATAATTTTTTAAATATAAATTCAAACCAAACTGTAATTGCTCTTATATATCTCTTATAGAATTGTAACATATTTCATATATAAATATCTTTTTCGGCTCTTTTTTTTTTTTTTTTATTTGGTCCCCTCTAACATCTTCATTCCCATTGCCCTTCACTAGCATTCTCAGATGGTAACCCCATAATAATAAGTCCCTGTGTTGGTTGTTGATGATATGCATATCTTCCAATTATTTATTTAAATGCTGCTTTGTCATTGCATAAACAACATGTTGAATTAATTTATCTTCTATCTACATCTTCTAGAAACCAATCCAATTAACTCAGGTTGAAAGCATACCAACCAAGTATAATTTTCAATATCTGAAGAACAAACACGGAGAAAAAATAAAATAAAATAAAATAAGTACAACTACTAGCATCCACACCCAAAAAGAAATAGTACAATTGCAAACACTTGGTGTGACATAAGAGCCCTTTTGTACTATCTGCACAGAAAACAAATGGCGATCGTGGATAGAGTCCACTTTGTGTTTTCACTTTCTTATTGAAGTTTTACCACCCCTTAGTAAAATATATAAATCTTTTTCTTTCACAAACTACGCTAATTTCTATAGAAAATTCAAAAAACCATCTAAATTAATTTGAACACCAGACAGTGATAAAAGTCTTGATCAAGAGAGATAGGTATCCAAGCATTAGTTTTTAAGGTCAAAGAAAACCCAACAAAACAAAGAAGAAAATAATAGGGTTGAACTAATGGAGCAGTATGAAATCATGCAGCTTCTGGATCCGTGCAAGGGTGTAAGTCTTCACCAAATGGAAATTGGAAAGTGAAAGGAAAATGTCTGAAGGTGCTTTCGCAATTGAAAAGATTCGAAACATGACAAGTCAAAGTTTATGTTCCAAATTTGTCACCACGAATGCATGAAAGTCAAGCAGGGGTAGCTACGTCATTTGGCTTTAACCAACATCTTAGACTTGGGATACTCGGTTCCCCATTATCAAATAACATTTAAAAAAAAATGATTTTTTTTTCAGATTTTTGGCAACTTCTTGCTGGCCAAACAACCCCTTCATTCCATGTCTCTCTCTCTATATATATTATGCACAAGAAGAAGAAATCCATGGCATATAGGACCTAGACAACTAATCAAAAGTAACCTTTGGAAAAAATCAACATTGTGTTGGTATAAAAAGGAGCTGAAAACCTCTTTTCTCTCTGAGCAGTTGAAGATTTTGAATAAACCTATTTCCATTTCCACAATCCTGTATCTCTCTAAATTCCTACCTAATACGTTCAAATATCTCACCAAGTTGAACCTTATTCTCACGTATATATCTCTGTATACATACATCTTTGATCAACTATGAGATTGTAGATTAGTTACTGTCATAAAGAGGTCCAAGTTTAGTTCATATTTAGCTTTCTCTTGATCAACAATGACCTTCATGAAAACCATGTGGAAGTCTATCTTCCCGGGTTGTTATAAGGGTGGATATCCCTCTCCGAAGCCAAAGAAAGTGGTGGCTACAAAGACAAACACTTCTCACAGGATTTCTGTGATGGATTTGAGTTATCCAAGCACGACTCTTTCTGAGGATCTCTCCATTTCTCTAGCGGGGACTAACCTCCATGTTTTCACACTTGCTGAGCTCAAGATTATCACGCAGTCTTTCTCTTCTAGCAACTTTCTAGGAGAAGGTGGGTTCGGACCAGTGCATAAAGGGTTCATTGATGACAAGCTTAGGCATGGCCTTAAGGCTCAACCCGTGGCTGTTAAGCTCTTGGACTTGGATGGCTCGCAGGGCCACAAAGAGTGGTTGGTACGTACTTTGCTTTCTTCCTCATAACTCTGTGACAAATACGAAGCCATAGTCTAATAATGAATCCTTTTTCAGATATTTACTTCAATTAGAACGAGCATAGTTATGTAGATGAAAGTGGCATCTTATTCTTTCAATAAATCAATGCATGATCAAACGTATTAGAAGACAATATGGAGGTTAGGTAGAGGGTTATTCAATGGGATATTATCAAATGGAAAATTCTTTATTGACTTAAATTTATTGAAATAAAAATATCCATAGTTTCTGAATTGTACACCAAACTTAATAAAATAGTATGCTTAAAATATCTTATATGAATGTCACATATTAGTTTTTAAATTTGAATAAGGTCTTTTAAGAATAATGTCACAAATTAATTTCAATGAATGAGTTCTGATCTTTTGGTTTTCTAACTTTGTGTGCTGACAACAGACTGAAGTTGTTTTCCTGGGGCAACTAAGGCATCCACATCTGGTGAAGCTGATAGGATACTGTTGTGAAGAAGAACACAGACTTTTGGTATATGAATATTTACCAAGAGGAAGCTTGGAGAATCAGTTATTTAGAAGTACGATTCTTTATTCATTATTAATTGTCTTAACTCTTGCAATGTAAGCCTAAACATTGAAGAACTCATAATTAATCTCTTGATTAATTATTATTCTTTATTGTGTCAAATATTTCAGGATTCTCAGCATCACTGCCATGGTCAACGAGAATGAAAATTGCTGTTGGGGCTGCCAAGGGTCTAGCCTTTCTTCATGAAGCCGAGAAGCCAGTCATCTATAGGGATTTCAAAGCTTCAAACATCTTGTTAGACTCAGTAAGTGTCTCTAATTTCTTACATCCATTAAATTTCCTTTCTAAGTTATATATTGAAGTTCATAACACATTTCTCTCTGTGTTTATTTGGCATAACACTTTATATAAAGAGTGTAAAGAGTTTTTTTTTTTATATATACATAGAGAATAACGTGAATTATTAAACGAGTGTTTGTAATTAAGGAATCTTCATATACTTTGTTTTTGTTACTGTAAGTCTTACTCTTCTCATTTATTATTCGTGTAGGATTACAATGCAAAGCTATCTGATTTTGGGTTGGCAAAAGACGGTCCCGAAGGAGATGACACCCACGTTTCAACCCGAGTTATGGGCACACACGGTTACGCAGCCCCAGAATATGTCATGACAGGTACTTTATAGTTTTAAATTCCAGTTAATTAATCCACTTTTCTAATAACAATGAAGTACATTACTGCTTTTGTACCTAAGATAATTAATTGTTATTAAAAAGGTGGAAGTATTGTACAGATGCTGATAGGATTAGCTGTTAATGATCAACTTGAGGTAGAGTTTTTGTAGCTAACTAAACTTTATAATAATGTTTTTTTTAGGTCACTTGACAGCAATGAGTGATGTGTATAGTTTTGGGGTAGTGCTTTTGGAGCTGCTAACAGGGAGACGATCAGTGGATAAGAATCGTCCTCCAAGGGAGCAGAATCTAGTGGAGTGGGCAAGGCCAATGTTGAATGATTCAAGGAAACTAAGTAGGATAATGGACCCTAGACTTGAAGGGCAATATTCTGAGATGGGGACCAAAAAAGCAGCAGCATTGGCTTATCAATGCCTCAGCCAAAGGCCTAGGAGCAGACCGTCAATGAGCACAGTGGTTAAGACCCTTGAGCCTCTCCAGGATTTTGATGACATTCCAATTGGAACATTTGTTTACACTGCTCCACCAGATCAAAACAATGAAGTGCATAACAGGGATGCAAGGGAGCAATTTGATGCACCTAGAAAGAGGGAAAATAGCAATGGCCAACACCTTCACAGGAACCACCATCTTAACAGGCATCATCCGCTGAAGTCCCCCAAGACCCCAAAGCCACAATCACACTCAAATTTACGCCCACTGAATGATCACAACAAACCTAGAAATGGTAGAGGAAGTGGATCAAACTCTCCTCCATCACACGTGAAAAGGCCAGGAATCATTGCCTAATATATAGGACACATAAATCATCATATATACTGTACATACATAGATATTTTCACTTCATTTTTCCCTCAAAATTGTTCAGTTTTATGTAGTATACCAAGTATCTTGTAGGCCCCTGTAATGAGCCATATATTATACCAAGAAAAAAAAGACAGGGAGGGAGAAGGAAAATGACAAGAGTATAATCAATACATGGAAAACATGGATGAGTTAATTTATTTTTTGTTCTATGGTAGTTTAATTTCTTCAACTAAGGGAGGATGAGGAAGTTCATTGTTTTAAATTGCATGTGCATATAAACATTGTGATGAACAACTTTTCTTCTGGATGGATCAAAAGACTTGTTCAATAAATGGATAATTACCAACTACTTAGTTGTTGAACAAACTTTAAGAGCTTTCAACACCAGGGGTTACAGCCAAGAAGCTTGACCAAACAACACTTAAAATATTAAATAACATGCCACTGCATAAGCTAATTCTATATGCTTAATACTATTTATCTTATATAGTGGAGACAGCAAGAAACACCACCCTCATATATATATATATATATATATACATTTAATGAAGAACAACTAAGCCTGTTTTGTTATCTCTTTTGTCAAAAGAAAGATAATCACTACATATGATTATGATTATGATTATGATAGGGTTGAGGAAATGATTAGAAAAACAAGAGTATTTGTTGGTGACACCACTACTGCAAAAAAAGGCTTTTTACATCGGTTAAAATGGGCTTTCGACGTCGGTTAAAGCGGCGACATAGATACGGGGGTCATAGAAAGTAAGACTTTCTACGTCGGTTAATAGGAACCGACGTAGAAAGACCTACTTTCTTTGAGCTATTATGATCGGTCAAAATGGTTATGATCGGTCATAGAGCTATTCTGATCGATCATAACTGGTTCTCGATCGGTCATGAAGGACTTTCTACGTCTGTTAGTCAGTGAACCGACGTAGAAAGTCTTATTTTGTATGAGCTATTCTGATCGATCATAACTCGGTTCTCGACTGTCATAATACTTTCTATGTCTGCTAACACTTATAACCGACATAGAAAGTCTTACTTTCTATAACCCAAGTATCTATATCGGTTAACAGTAACCGTTATTGTATGTGTTATCAATGTCGGTTATGCCTATAACCGACATAAAATGTTACACTTTCTACGTCGGTTATGCCATTAACCGACGTAGAAAGTACTTTCTACGTCGGGTAATGACATAACCGACGTAGAAAGTGTTATTTTTTTTTTAAATACCTGCATTTTATTTACAGATGCTACCTTTCTTCGAGTAGACTCTGCCTATTCATCACAGTTCCAGACAAATAACCACAGATCCAAGATACAGACAGATATGCACAGTTCATATATAAATTTGCTACAAATATATATCCAAGCATGACAGATTCAGCTAGCAGCATGATATGTACATATGAAACACATTGAAATGAATATATGTACAGACAGATCCAGCTTCTACCCAGTTGAATAAATTTCCTATTAATATATGTAAATTTCCTAACTTAAATCAATTCTATCTAAATTGTTACAAGTTAAATTTCCTATGAAGATTGAATGCTTAAAAGGAAAGAAGCTCACTCGCTCTCCGATATCGTCTAAGACTTCAATCTTCATTGGAGATGAGTCTCGTAAATTCCTACATATTGAAACATTTCAGATTTAGAAACCATTTACATAATTGGCATATTTGACTTAATTATAGTATATTTACCTCCCTCCATGAGCCCATAATATTTTTGTCTACGATGGTGTGCATGTGCTTCATCACATAATACCCGCACTCATGGCTTCCCGTTGTCGTGGACACTACAAGTTAAATACATGTCAGCTTAACTTTAAATGACAAATTGAACAATAGTAAGAGGTGTTTGGTCACCTTTGGTGCAATATACGTCAACTTCTTTCTAGCATGAGATGGAAGACCTTGCAACCTTAGGTGAGCTTCCAAAGCTCTACAAAAGGACAAATAATTTTGGTGTAAGTAGTGCACATATGATACAACAATTAAAAAAACCAAACTTACGCGTCTATGTGCTTTCTAATATCCAAATCATTTGCTTTCTTATGTAATGAACACAAGAGAATCACAAGAAATTGCCGAGGAACAATGATTATGAGCCGCCAATGACCCCCGCACGTTGAAATAATATTAGTAAAATTTCAGCTTTACATAAATGTGCATTAATTTATAAGATGTATACTTATCGATGCAAGTAAGGTGCTAAGTAGACTTCTTTGCCCCCAGCTTGAAATGCCTCTATTAAGTACGTTTGCACCTCTTCAGCCTTTATTCCCAATGGACTGAATGGCAACAGTGGTCAACAAATCCATAGAGAAAGCGGATCTTCCTCTCAACACACAAACGATGTAAATACCTTCAACATTGAAAATAAATAAAGTTATAAAATAATGTACCAGTGAGAATATAAAAATATATGTAAATATACTTACAATTCCCAAAGCCGCAACACCGATACACATAACATATCAAGCACTCAGCGAGAAGATCAAAAATATCCCTTTGGAGTAAGAAAAAAGGGATCGTCTTGGTCCTGCATACGACTTCGGGTGGCATATCTAACTGTATGGGAGTGGTCCCGATAGTCGCTGCCAGTGCTATTTCTGATCGGAGTTGCGACTGATATTCAACTCCCTCAATCGTGTAGCACGCCTACCCTTTTTCCTGGTAGACGGCTGACTCTGATCACCACCTTGTGTAGGAGGGGGGACCGTGTAGGAGGAGGGGTACTAGATGAATCTGCCATATCCGTGTTCAAAGAAAAAAATAATAGTTATTAGTTTAGACAATATGACTCGAAGATAAACAAAAAAGTGCATACATTAAAAAATAATACATTAAAAAAATTTCATACATTATCAAGTTGGAGCATTCTCCCAAAATCCTTCCATATGGTCATAACGGATGGCATGCACATCATCTATTTCTACATTAACACTCAAGTTTGGCATATTTGAAGAGAAACATGGTGTCTCGGTATATCAAGTACTAATTCATCATTCTCATCGAAGTATACATGGGTTTTCCTTGTAGAACCACTCGACCATCCTTTGTTAGCGGGATCGGTGACATAAAACACTTGTTTTGCCCGAGATGCCATGATAAATGGTTCTTCTGTGATAACGAGTATTTTCAAGGTTAACCAAGGTAAATCCAAGATCATCTAGTGAAGATGCCAGTATTAAAATCAACCCACTTGCATTTAAAAATAGGTACTCTGAATATCGTGTAATCTATTACCCAAATCTCTTCAATTACACCAAAGTAGCCCATTGACGCCCTTATCGGATATTTATCCTTTGAACTCGAGAAATGCATTGATTCAGCCACCACCATGACTCCACTATTTTGCATTGTGCTTATTTCATCTTCTCCCTTTGTATAAAATGAATAGTTATTTATATCATACCCACCCCAACATATCACATCAAAGTTTGGCTCACATGCTAGCCACTTTAGTGTATCGAAGTCGTATTGTCACCTTCAACTTGTTGTTTAAACCACTTCAAAAAGCTCTTGTCAGTGTTCAGTGATCACCCACTTTTTAGGCATACGTGGATTATTTCGCTTCACAATCTCTTTATGAGCACTTAAGTAGGGGATGACTTCTTCACTGTTATTCAATATGTACAAATGCGCTTGAAGTACTTCATCTCGACACATTGTCACAACTTTTGCACCTCGAGTTCCTCTACCAAGACCTATTCCATGGTAACGAGTCTTAGGTAACCCTATAGGTTCAACTTCTGATAAGTAGTTTGTGCAAAACTCAATAGCTTCCTCTCGCAATATACCTTTGAACAATTGATGCTTCAGGACGATATTGGTTCTTCACATACCCTTTTAATATTTTCATGTATCGCTCAAAAGGGTACATCCATCGTAAGAAAACCGGACCACAGATTCTAACTTCCCTGGCTAGATGAACAATCAAGTGAACCATAATATCAAAAAATGATGGAGGAAAGTACATCTCAAATTGACATAATATGACTCGCAGCCTCATTCTCTAACTGATCCAAAACACCCGGTCCATAACTTTACTACATATGGCATTAAAAAAAAGCATAATCGAGTTAAGGAATATCTAACATTGTCCGGTAAGATACCTCGAATAGCCACAGGTAGAAGTTGTTGCATCAATACATGACAATCATGAGATTTTAACCCAAGCAATTTGAGCTCTTTCATAGATACAAGTCTCTTCACATTGGAAGAGTAACCAAATGGAACCTTCACACCTCGTAAAAACTCACAAAAACTTCTTTTCTCTTTTTTAGACAAGTGTGTGACATGCTCGGAGGCAAGTATGTTCGGCTACCATGAGGTTGAGGAGCTAATTGTTCTCTTATACCCATTTCAACCATGTCCAAACGAGCATTGACACCATCTTTTGTTTTTCCTTGAATGTTAAGGAGCGTTCCGATGATACTATCACACACATTTTTCTCTACATGCATGACATCTATACAATGCCTCACATCAAGAACCCTCCAATATGGAAGAACAAAAAGGATTGACATTTTCTTCCATATACCTGTGGCTTTCTTTTGCGTCTTTCCAAACTCACACGAAATTGCACTTACTCGTTGATATACTTCTTCCCCACTTAAAGGTGTTGAGGCTGCATCATTTTCTTGACACCCGTTAAATGATTTTTTTAATTTACGATATGAATGGTTTGAAGGAAGAAATCTTCGGTGTCCAAGGTACACTCGTTTTCCTTCCATGTTGTAGTTGATAGTGACATGTGTCTTCTTCACATATCGGGCAAGCTTTATGTCCCTTTGTGCTCGTAGCCACTCAAATTACCATATGCTCGGAAAGTCATTAATTGTACAAAATAACATTGCACGCAACTTGAATAAGTCACCCGTGTACCCATCAAACACATCAACACCTTCCTCCCACAACATCTTCAACTCTTCAACCAATGGGCTTAAAAAAAGATCAATGTCATTTCCAGGTTGTCCGGGACCCGAGATCATCAAAGATAGCATCAAGTACTTACGTTTCATACACAACCACGGAGGTAAGTTGTAAATAACTAACACCACAGGCCATGAACTATGTTTATCGCTTAAATTTCCATATGGATTCATTCCATCTCGTAGCAAGTCCAAACCTAATGTTTCTTGGATCATTACCAAAATTCTGGAAGATGGAATCAATTTTTTTCCATTGCAATCCATCTCACGGATGCCTCAACCGACCATCTTTAATACGACTATCTCGCATGCCATCTAGTCGACTTTGCATCATTTCCATTAGTGAATAATCGTTTCAACCTTGGAACAATGGGAAGATACCATAACACTTTTGCCGGGTACCCTTCATTACATCATTGTCGTAATCACCATCCTTCTTCTTGTATCGTGATTCCCCGCATTGTGGACATTCGTGACGGTTCTCAAATTCTTTCCTGTACAACACACAATCATTCGGACATGCATGAATTTTTTGGTACTCCATACCCATTGGACACAATATCTTCTTAGCATCATAATTGCGGGTTGGCAATGTGTTACCTTCAGGGAGCATGTCACTCAACAACTCAAGCAATTCTCGTGAAACTTTTATCGATCCACCCATTCTTTGCCTTCACATTGAACAATTTTAGTACCGCCGACAATCGTGTGAACTTAGTACAATTTGTATACAAAGGCTCTTTTGCATCATTGGACAACTTCTCGTACACATGTGTGTGTTGGAAGGCATCTTGTCCAAGCTCACGAATCATTTCCTCCAACTCGATCATCCATCTCTAGATCAACTTCTTCTTTGTCTTCTACACTTGGCATGTTTAATAATTCACCATGTCATGTCCACTTTATGTAACTCTTTAGGAAACCATCACAAAGAACATGTTCCCGAATAACTTCAGATCGGTAATCTTCGCTCATTCAAGCAGCTTAACACAAGGGCAATAGAATCTTCCATCATTATCCGAACATTCATCTTAGCAAATTCAAGGAATTGTTCTACTCCACTCTCATATTCATTTGTTGTTCGTCTATAATTGATCCAACTCCGATCCATTGTTACAAATCTAATTTTCAAAATCAAATTAGCTACGTAAACACGAAATAACTACACTATAATGCCTACACGAAATCCAACTCCACTCTCAAAATAACTACATTATAATACAAATCTAATGTTCAAAATCAAAATCACGAAAGAATGCCTACGTAAACACATTCAAATGACTAAACTACTTACAATACATCTCTAAATTAGCTAAAGGCACCCGTGATGTTTCCCTCTCTTGACAAGCATTATTACTTACTAGATTCAATACCGTAAACCTACATTGGCTAAAGCAAGCACCAAAACTTACCTCTTGAAGACCTACGGAGGTGGCAGGTGGCGTGACGTGCGTAGCCGGGTGGGGAGAAACGTATCCCGTGCGACGGCACCGCAGCAGCGCAGGCGGCACGAAGCGTTGGCAGGTGGCGTGACGAGCAAATGTGGGTGCGAGAAACGTATACAAGGGAACGGGGAGCTCGGTATGGGTGAACCGATGAAAGGAAATGGAGCGTAGGGAGAAACGTACGGGGAGCTCGCTATGGGGGAAGTGATGAAATGAAATGGAGCGCGGGAAGAGGGTAAAACAGAAGATACTATGTCTGGCTGCACTAACACCCGTCATCAAAGACACTTCTACGTCGGTTAAAATTTACCCGACATAGAAAGTTCACTTTCTACGTCGGTAAATGTTACCCGACATAGAAAGTTAACTTTCTATGTCGAGTAAATTTTAACCGATGTAGAAAGTGACCTTTCCACTTACTATGTCGGCTAAAACTTACCCGACATAGAAAGTTTATGATTTTATTACAAAATTGCCACCGCGCCACATACTATGACGGGTGGATTACGACCGTGATAAAAACCCGTCATAGAAAGCTATTTTTCCACTAGTGCACTTCTACTCTATTAGACACAACACGATATTTTAAATTGGATTGTTAATTGAACAACTCAAGCCAGTTCGAAATTTACTAGTATAACTATAATCGAAACTACTTGTATAAATATTAATTAATTAATAATAATAATAATAAATATATTAAATAAACATTAAAATAATCATTAATTATTTATTTTATAGTATCAAAAATCAAATCAAGTGTGAGATAATATTTATATTGCTTTTCATAGCACTCTCCTTCTAGAATGAGAACGTCATGTCCAGCCATGAGTCCCTATCAATATTTATTTATAAATTTGGATTAGAATTCGTATACATTTGGAAATTTGAAGGTCACTGTGGAGTAATTTTAAGTATAAAAAAACATTTTTTTTTTTAAGGGTCATGTCCATTCTTAGGAAAGTACGAACAACATAATATCCTAGTGTAATATATTTTTGCCTTTTCCATGCATATGGTAACATGAACTTAAGGATATAATTAATTGAATAACTCTTCATGTGACCTAGGGTCTCTTTGACTTTTATCATCACACGAGGGATATTTTTACCACCATATGGAGAAAAAAAAATTATGTATATTGGTGCATCTAGAATCATTATATAGAGGAATAGAGAAATTGGTATCTATATTCTGAATAGTTTCGTTCGTGAATCATACCATGACAAAAACTATACTAAAAAATATTCCTAAGATACGAGGGAAGTGATATTCAATTCAATTCAATTCATATAGATAGATATAAAACACTTCATTTTAACTCTCCTTAAACTGTGACCTTGTACATAAAACATTTAATTAAATAGTAAGATTTTTGCGTCAAATAAGATCTCTTGTATATAAATGAAGTCTTAATTATCTATATTTATTTTATATTTGATGAGTGTTATGGACTCGTAAATATGTATATAATATCTTGGACGGTATCGAATATCTAAAAGAATAAAAATACTAAGAACAAAGGAAAAACAAAAACACAAAACTAAAATGGCGTTCTTACAAACAAGTGGTATTAATTGGACTTGAAAATCTTAGATTTTCCTTTCAAAGTGTTTGGAACCAAAACCCAAGCAAGAGCTTACCCGTTCTTATGAAACCAAAATGGGGTCACGTAGAGACTAAGTTGAAATTTCACCAAGGTTTTGCCCCATTAAATGGTTCTGGTGATCATTTATCTATATAAAAGAGTTAAAGCTTCTCCTATCCCATTAATGTCTTTTGAATTAATTCCTTCATCTTTGTCTCCTTATAAAAGCTAGAAAACCCACGTAGGAAATCTATTAGGGTTGTGCAGTGTTCATAAAATAAAACCGTATGTTGAAGGAAAAAGAATGAACCGAGACAAAAGTATAGATAAAGCAATCAAATTTCGAACCGGTAATCGCAGAAGAAGAAGAAGAAACAATGATGGTGGTGATATGATTCGCAGCCACTATAGTCAAGTGATTGGTTTTTGTTGCTTCCTTCTTGTAATCATCGTATTATCCTTAGTTTTGTTTTTGTTTTTTTTTTTATCTTTCATCTCATTATATAGGCTTGTCAAAGTAGAAATTATTGCAAGTGGCTCTTTAGAAGAAAATGAGAGAATTTAGATAAAATGTATTTTTATTTGAAAAAGGCAAGTAGCTAGGAATTTTTTTTCTTTTCTCGTACACAATAATAGAAATTATATATATCTTTTTTTTCATGGATAGAAAGAAGCATGAATAAAGGGTTGTTGGTATTTAAAATAAATAGATAAATATTTGTGTAGGCTTGTTGGTATTAATAATAATAATAATGTCTAATTCAATTTTATAAATTTATTTAATATTATCATCTATTTATATATTAAAATTTTGATAAGTTCATATAATTTTTTTCCTCAAACTTAGGATTTAATATTATAACTGATTCAATAGTAGTTTTTGACAAAATAGGGATTATGTATTATTGGATTAAAATTTAAGCAAAGGTGTAGTTTTTGTTTATTTAAGTATTTTTTAAAATATATTTAAATTAAAAATAATACAAATATGATATTATAAATTTTTCTCGTTTACCTTTAATTTAAAAAAAATCAAAAAAAATATACTATTTTTAACATATTGTAGGCGAATTATTACCCAAGGTTCTATAATTAGTCCAGTCAATGCAAAACAAATGGGCCTTGTGGGTAAATAACAACCCGTTAACGGACTATGTGGATTCCATAAATTGGATATAGAATATTGGGCTCAAAATGCCTTCTTAGAATGCAGCAGGCTTTTGTTTCTTGCACCCTTTATTTTCTTACTGCACTCACCACTTTTATGTTCTTCCTGGACTCAATCAAAAGGATTACAATGTAATTTTATTTTTGTATTCTTTTTAACCTTCAAGTAAATAAGATGTGAACATGATAAAAATTAAGTTTATTTATTATTATTAGATACTATTATAATACATATTTTATTTTATCTATTACATATTATTTACAATATCTTTTATTATCTAAGGATTATTATACATCGAGACATTGATATAGTAGATTTTTTATTTTAATTATTTTTATATCTGTAGTTTAACTATGATACTTTGTTTTTAGCATTATATTTAAAGATAATTCAACTATTATACTAATGGACATAAATAGTTATAACTACTTAAAATTTGTTATTTTATTTTTAAATTTAAATAGAAATAACAATCCAAAGAAAATAATAAATGTAATTAAGTTAATTTCCTATAAATGTAAAATATTATAAGAACTTAAAAGTAATTAAAATTAAAGTTACAAATATCCTAAAAAATATATCTGTTAAAGTCATATAAGGAGGCATCAATTGAGTTGGTGTTCCAATATTCCATTACAAAGTGTAACTGATCACACCAATTTATTGAGTTGATGCTTCCAAAATCCCATCACAAAAGGTGACTGAGAGCAATGAGTTAATCACAATATCCCATTATTTTTCATCACAGCCCAAAACTTGCAAATATTATACAAGTTAAAGACTAAACTACTCAAGATAAACAATATTGCAATTGCAATTTCAATACTTTGGAATTAATTTTGGTCTTTTTTGTCAACCATACATATATATTAAATAGTTCAGCCACTGCTGGTAGTACACATGAAAAGATTCCAAAAAACTTTTGTTTCCTCGTTCTCCGTTTGTCGTGGATCTTTGCATTCGATCTAACATGGCAAAGATACGAGGTAATGGTAATGAATGTCATGAACTAGAATTTGAACTCCAGAAACCCACATAGCTTTTTTTTCCACAGTTTAGATTAGAGACCAATTCTGCTGGTAACCGTCTATTTCTTTACAGTTTATATTAGAGACCAATTCCATCTGCTGATAACGTATCAGTGTTTATAAAACTTTATCACTCATCCAAAACAACATAAACATTCAAATTTATCAATGGTATATATAAGACTCGTTCTCCACTTTTCTGTATTTTGCTCTGCGTGCATGGTATAATAGTGACCAACTAATCCGTGGCTATGATTGGTACGTGGAACACGATGAATCTTAGACGCGTTTTCCATATTGCAGGTAAGTGGATGATGAATCACGAGATATGGTTTTTATTTACGTGGACATGCATTACTCAGCAAAGGCTGGACCCGTGAACGATGTGAAAGACAAAGAACACCTAGGGTTTTTGTATCTTACACAAAAGACAAAGCATTGAATGGCCAGAAGTAATGAACTATCCTCAAGGTGTTTTTCTTATAAAAGAAGATACACGTAATGCACATAAATTATATAAGGGCATCTTCCACACCATTATCTTAGGAATATTTTACCACAAGTCATGCTAATTTGGAACAAATAGATTACACCCATTTAATTTTATTTTTTTTAACAAAACTTCAATATGAAAGATATGTTCATGTAAACAAGTTGGATAAATCCTCTAATTTCTGATCAATCTGCTCGATAATCTTCTTCTAATTTTTTACTCATAATATCTCAAATTAAGTGATGTATTTATACATTTTTAATATACAGATCTATTATAAAACAACAATTAACAAATTTAAATATATAAAATTAGGAAGAACGAAATAAAATTATTTTAAATACTTAATAATAATTTTAATAAAATCAAAGATGTAATTATACACTAGTGTATATATATATATATATATATATATATATATATATATATATATATATATATATATATAGTATTTATACACTTTTTAAACTTACTTATCTATTATAAAATAATGGTCAACAAGTTTAAATATATAAAATTTGGAAGAATGAAATAAAATTATTTTAAAATATTTAATAATAATTTTAATAAAATCGGAGATGCAATTATACACTAGAGTATATATATATATATATATATATATATATATATATATATATATATATATATGTATATATATATATATATATATATATATAATTTTAAAATAAATTTTACTATTCATAATTAAACTTAATTTATTGAATAATCTCTCATAATTTATCATTTTTAATATTAATAATTATGTGTCGATAACTCCTACTAATAATAAGAATTGGAGACACACGGAGGGTCACTAAAAGAGAAAAAATAATAATTATTTCTTTATTTGATGTGTATAAAATATTTGTTAAAAAAAATTATTTTTTAGGTGGATAAAAAGATATTATGTTACTAATATTTTCTGTCGAGGAGATAAGGGTTTTTCAGATCCTCTGGTTTGGATGCTATTTGTGTTTGGAATTTCCTCATTAACTAAGAGACCTAAAATACGTTATAATTAATGTGAATTGTATTATTATATATAAGTGTCACTTATTCAAGGAAAGAGATAATTCTCTTCTTTGTAAATGCTAATGGATTTCTATTAAAACCCTAGTTAAAGGTTTAGAAACGGAAGTTAATAAATAGAATTAAATTTATTTTCTTAATATATTATAGTTAATTATTATTTTCATCAAATCTTTTTATTTAAAAAAATATTATTTTAATCTCAAATTATTTTATTTGAGTTGACCATTATATTCAAAATATTATCGATTTTATCTTTAATTTTTTTAAAAGTCTCAATAGAAAAAGATTATATTTGTAATATTACATTTGATTTAAACCCTAAACTATATAAAAATTTTCAATTGACCGGCATAATTTTCTCAATTCATAACTAAAAAGTAAAAGTGATATGAATTTTTTTGTAATTCTCATTTAATTAATATTATAATTTTGTATACGATAAAATAACATAGTTAATTGTTATATTAAAGTTATTATTACGCTCAAGTCATGAGTTATGTAAGTAAATGTTAGATTGATTTAATCTAATATTGATGCGTGACTTATAAAAGGTTAATTACATATTTAGATGATTAAATTATTTAAATTAAACAAATTTATCCTATTAATATGTTATCGTAATAAAATAAATGTTACTAAAACACAGTTATTTATCTAAGATATAATAATACTATGATTTAATGATAAATTTTAACATTAATATGTTAACAGACAGGGCGGAAAAGGAGTTACCTGAAAATTTGTATCTCTTTTCAAAATTTTATATATAAATAAAATTCAAGATTTTCTTACTTAATATTATATATATATATATATATATATATATATATATATATATATATATATATAGTTTCTCTGGGTCAGATATATTAATATTTTATGTTAGAATTGAATGACACATTAATTGCATATTTAAGAAAGACATGAAAAAAGTGGATTAAAGTATATGGCTTAAATAACTTTTTGGAGGTTTGTTAATTTTTTTATTTTATTTCTTTAATAAGGATATCTCCCATCAAAATTTTTAACTAGAGTAGTTTAATAATAAAATCAAATATTTTATTATAAATTTTGAAGAATTTTTAAGTAGAGTAGTTTAATAATAAAATTAAATATTTTATTATAAGTTTTATAATTGAGTTACTTAAAATATGATTAGATTTATTTATTTATATAATTTTCTTCCAATTTTAAGTAACTTTGGAACCTATGATCAAATATTTTATTTTATTTCTAAATAACTATTGATAGCAACTTTCTTTAAATTAAATATGCTCTTAAAATTTTCAAAATTTATATTGATTTATTATATAACGAAAATATGATAATAACGTAGGATATTACTATATTATACTCAATATTAAATAAATATAATTTATTATCTAAATTGTTATCTTAAAAGGTCTATAAATAATACTTTCCTATTATTTATAAATAATAGTTATATTATTATTATTATATTTTTTTTGTATTGATTTAAGTAGATCTTTTTTAATATTTAGTAAAATTTAACTCAATAGATGTTAAGTGATAATTATTTATTTATTATTGTAAAATTTTGATGAAGAAAAGAATTATTATGATAAATTTATATATTACACTAATATTGATTAATTAGTTTAAAATATTATGATAGATGATAGAGAGAGAGAGGGGAAAAGAAGAATTTGAGTGTGGGCATGTGCAGTGCAGCTAAGATATGAAACAGTGAAAGGAGAGGAAGGGAAGTTTCTGATTTGTAGTTTTGTCCTCAATCAAACACTCTTTACTCTTTAAAGTGCTTTTTTTTTTCGTTTTGCCCCAACAAACATAGCCTCACTCATTGATGCAATTCAATCTTTTGTCACGCCTTCAAATGAGCACACACATCAATAATAATAATCATCATCGTCATCATCATATTTTGTATCATTCCACTATTTTGTTTTAATTTCAATCAATTGATTCAATCCAGACAGAGGAGTGAGTCCCAAGAAGTTTTGAATTTTGGCCATGCTATGTGGCTACTTTCGAGGCAAAAGTTAGGGAATGTATATAAATTAAAACTTCACTCTGTTTTCTTCAGCTACCATTATTGGTTTGTATTTTTCTGTCATAAACACAAACATGAACTCTGATTGCTTAAGACTTGGCTTTTCAATTTTTTATGCGATCAAGTTCTTTAGCTTATCTCACAAGTGCATTTTTCTCTGCTACACAAACTTGCTTAACGTTTTTGTTCATTTATGTTTATGTTTTGCGCATGTTAACCTATCCTCTCCTTAAAATGTGGACTTCATGCACTTCTATAACTCCAAATTCAGTTGTCATGTATTATTGTGTGTGACATGGTTATGCTCGATACAACCTTCAAAATATTTTTTTTTAATATTAGTTTTTATCTTAAAATATATCTCAATATATTAATAAAAAAAAGTGCATATATAATTTATTTTAATCTTAGACTCTCAAATATTGCGAAACTTGTAAACTTCAATATTATAATTTGTTTTTGACAACTTTATGACAACGCAATGTAAGGAATCTAACGGATATTATTATTTTTACACGATCATTTGTGGCATATTTGACAACGAATGATGTAACCTTGCATGCTATCAACCATTACACTTCCCTCAAAATTCATCATGCAATCTCACGCGCAACGCAAGGTAAAAAAATAAACTTTTATATTATATACATAATATAAAACTCTAAATAATTTGATTGTAAGAAATCGAAATTTTCAGATAAATATTTTAAATTATCCTATCTATTTAAATATTTAATAAATAGATAAAATATTCCTTAAATTTTGGAGGTTTAGGATTATTATTATTTTGTAAAAGATAGTAATGTATTTTTTTCCTTTGAATTATTATTTTAAATATCATTATTTAATATTTACTGGGAAGAACAATGTCAAATACCTTTTTATTCCTAATAATAATAATAATAATAATAATAATAATAATAATAATAATATAACGAAATTTTATTCCCTGTATTTTACAAAATTTTCAATGTTGGTACATATTTTTCTATAATTTTAGCTTCTCAATTTTTACTTATGCAATTTGATCACTTAATTTTTAATTATATGCAACTCTGTTCAATTTTTAATTATCCTGACTTTTTTTATATTCTTTTAGACGTGACACAATGAAATTAAGAGAAAACACATGATAATAATTTAAAACTAATTCAGTATATTTTTGAAACTGAAAAATTGAAAAAAAATTATAAATAATTAAAAATTAAGAAATTAAAATTATTAAAAAAGAATCCCAAAATTATGGATAACTAAAACGTAAGGGATTAAAATTACAAGGAAAAAAAAACCAAAAATATAGATTTGCACAATATAGGGAATAAAATTACTATTAACCCTTTTATATTTAAAAAAATATATTTAATCTTAAAAAAAGGGAAGATTTCAAAGTAAAAATGTAACTACATAAAATATATTTTTATCTATTAAAATTTATAAGTGTATCCTTCTACATACATTATTAGTTAATTTAACATATTCTTCTACTAAATGTTGTTAATCCAATATGTTAAAATGCAACTTTTATTTACATCAAAAATTTCAAAATCAATTTTTATAAGAAAAATATATTTAAGATCAACGAATACTAAAAAATTAGTTTTGTTTTGTTTAATTTTTTTTAATCCGATCAAACTCCGTTAAACAATAGATAAAACATCAATTTTATTTTCTATAATTTTTTAAATTATTTGTTCACTTTCTATTTTTTTTTCTCGAATTAAAAACTTTATTTTTTATTGTCTTTTTTTTTTAATGTTATCTCAAATTCATTCCTTACTCCAAACACAAACACAATATTAAAAAAAATAATAATAAAAAAATAATTTTTATTAAAGAATGTAAAAATTTAAGCTTTAACACTCCTAAAATTTACCACCCGTTAAGAAATAGATTTGAATGTAAATGAAAAAGAAAGTATTGGATGTGTGAAAGTATAATGAAGTTGTGATTGTTGACTACAGAATGGTGGGATTGGGTGGGTGACCTAAGATCAGCACTTGTTAAGGCTTAATTCCAGCATCCAATCAATTCCTTTCTCAAAAAGCTAATATAACATGCATGCCACCTATCATTTTCCTCAAACTCTCATTTTGTTTTAGATATTATTTCACAAGTTACAACTCTACAAATTATTCATCATTTTGTTTCTCCCCTTTATAATATATGATATTTAAGATTTTATATTCAAATTAATAAAAATGTTAACTTTTATCATTTTAATAATTTTTTTAATATTTTTTTTATAATATCTTCTCATTTTATTTTTCTTTCTCCATCAAAATTATTGACAATCATTTTTTTTCTCTACAATAAAGTTTCGGTTTCCCTTCCTAAAAAAAATATAAACCATTTTTTTATCTTATTAAAAATAAAATTCCCTTCATGTTTTTTCAATCTTGAAAATTTTACCACCGTTAATCTTGATTTTAAAACATTAATACAAATCTTAAACTCTCTCTCTATATAGTCTTTATATTTTTTTTCAGTTCTGTTTGTAATTTCACTTCTTAATCAGACTCATTGTCTTTTTATCATAAATGTCAATTTTTTTAGAATGAAAAGTTTACATATTATTGTGAAATTAGTTGAAAAGATGAACAATAATAAATTGTATTATATATTATTGATTTATATAAATTTTAATCTGTCTTTTAATGTAATTATGTATAAGTTATAATTCATTTAAAGTTTCATACAATTAATATTTTAATTATTTTTTGAACTTTTCAAAAATATTAGTATGTTTAATAACAAATAATTAATGTAAGTTTAAATTTAACAAATAAACCTTCTCTTTAACCCCTTTAATCACATAAAAAAATGATTAAAGTGCAGCAACTGTGGTACTTTGTTTATTCATCTAATAATATATTATGATTAGTTTGATAAAGACTTTCAAAATAAGTCTTCAATATATATACTACACAATCCACACTACCCAAATAAGTCCCCAACTTTAGAAAAAAAAAAGTTTATTTTTAAAGTAAACTTTTTATTCTTAAAAAAAAATTATGTACTATAAGTTTAGTTAATAATTAATCTCTTCATAAAAAGAAGTTTACCATAACCACACTTATTAAAATAATATTATCTGAAATTTCTAAATGTATTTTCTTATACAAACCGCACATAGTAATTAAACTATTTTAAAATAATAAATAAACAAGGAATTTTCAGGTGACTTTTGGTGCTGAGAATCTTCTATATATTCTCAACTGGACAACTTTCCTAACGATGAGTTTCTAAGGAATCTAAAAATTTATAAAATGTAATTTTTGTTAAGAAAGTCAATTATTATAGTCAAGTTTAATACCTTTATATTTAATTTTTTCGAAAAAGTTATTCTCACCTAACAAGTTCATAATTCTTTATTCCCAAAAACCATTTTTATCCTCTTCAATTAAATATACTAATTTTTTATTCCAATGTCACTTTTCCAAAAATACTAAAATATTTTACATGGAACGTAGCCTTAGTTAAACCCCACTTCTAGTATGATTAAGTGTTATGAAGACATGGATTCCATTGTACTTTTTGTGAGCATCTATGAATGTTTTTTTCTTGATCCAATCCATGGAAGACAAACTAAAACACAAGAACACTTGTTTTTAGCACATGAAATTGAAGTGGAACTTTAAAACTCCACTAAACTCAATATAATTTGGTATTATAAGGAGATGAAATCTTTTATCTTTAGCATAATAGCATGTTTATTGAAGCTTTGATTTAAAGAAGAAGAAACTAGAAAGAACACTTAACATTCAACACATCCACAGATCCAATGATTTTGTTCATTCACACCCAACATAAAATAATTATTTTCATCCAATATTGTGCTTTATGCTGTGTAAAATATTTGAATGCTTATATAAATAAATGACTTTTCGTGGGTGGAAATTAAAATATTCAATTAGTACTTGCACTCATAAAGACAGGAATAAAGGTAGCTAAGGCAAAATACTTCATAGTGCCCATGCTCATATCATGGAGAAGATTTTGTTGGCCAGTTCAACACAATAATATATTATATTAATTAATGGTGGATATTTAATATTGATATTTACGTGAAATAATATATTATTAATAAATAATAAATAAATATAAAAGAAATAAATAAAATGAAAAGGTGAAAAAATAAAATTTTAAATATATAATTAAATATATTAAATAATCGTAAAATTTGAGGGAAACAAAATTATAAATGATATGAGAATTATAAAATTAAAAAAAGATTAAGAGGATAAAATTGTAAATATATAAATAATTATATTAAATATTTATTATGATTTGGAGAGTTAAAATCATAAATTATATAAAAATTATAAAATTTTGGACCATCTGTAAATTAATATTTTATTTAATTATAAAGGAAGCAAAACATATTTGTATTTTTTTTAATCTATAATAGTTTATGACAAACCAAATAGATTATTTAGTCTCAAGTTTCTACCATTCTATGGTTTTTGTCTTCACTTGATACTTGTTTTTATCTTTTGATACCCAGAATTGACCCACCATCTAAATGAACCGCACCGAAAATGTAGAAGTGTAGTATATAATATACTAATGGAGAATAAGGAGTGAAGATAGGAAAATCTAAACACTCATAACATACCTCTATATCTATAGCTATAATAGCTATTAATAAAGTTCCACAAATAACACTTTTCTAAGACAAATATATTTTTTAAAAGTGAAGGATGAACATAGTACATGATTTCTTAGATGCTGTTATGCTTTATATTGAAAAAGAGAGTTTTTATGTGTTTTTATATTTTAAAATAAATTTGAATATTACTAAATAGGGTTATTCTTATTAGAAGTTATAATTTTGTAGTAACTCGACATAAACATAATTTTAAATTAAATTAACCTAATATTATATGACTTAGTTTAATTTAATTTTTATGGTTATTATTATTATATATTTATTGAATTTGTCAATGATTGTAACAAAATATAATTAATTTATTTGTTTAAAATTTAATTATACAAAATAAACAATTTTATATAATTAAAAGTGAGCACCCGGGAAATTGTAGATGTAGTCAAATGGGAAGTGAAAAAGGTGGAGAAAGACAGGTAACGGGAAGGAAGACCGGAGAAAAGAAAGAGAAAATATTATCAATTTTATAAAATCAGACTAATGTTTCAATAAATTTTATCAAGCAAGTAACCGTTACTATATATCCAACTTCACTCCCTTGTCTCCCACATCACATTCTGGTTCATGAAATGGGTTCCCTTTTCTCCTTCACTGTGTTCTTCTTCTTGGCGGTGCAATGTTGCTGGTGTCTAACGTCACCCAAGAAGACGTACATAGTTCACATGAAACACCACAACAAGCCTTCAATTTACCCAACGCACAGGGACTGGTACACTGCAAATCTTCAATCTTTAACCGCGGATTCCGATCCGTTGCTTTACTCATACAATGATGCCTACAACGGCTTTGCGGCGTCGCTCGACGAGGAACAGGCGCAGGAGCTTCTCAGATCCGAGGATGTTCTCGGAGTCTACGAGGAGACGGTGTACCAACTGCACACCACGCGCACGCCGCAGTTTTTAGGGCTCGAGAGGGAGACAGGGCTGTGGGAGGGTCACACCGCGCAGGACCTCAACCAAGCTTCCTACGACGTTATCGTGGGAGTGCTCGACACCGGAGTGTGGCCTGAGTCTCCCAGTTTCGCCGACACCGGGATGCCAGAGATTCCTGCGCGGTGGCGCGGCCAGTGCGAGACCGGCCCCGATTTCTCGCCGAGCCTCTGCAACAAGAAACTCATCGGCGCGAGAAGCTTCTCGCGAGGTTTTCACATGGCCTCGGGGAATGGGGCCAGGGAGAAGGAGCCGGCGTCACCGCGCGATAGGGACGGGCACGGGACCCACACGGCGAGCACCGCGGCGGGGTCGCACGTGGCGAACGCGAGCCTCCTAGGGTACGCGAGCGGGACCGCGCGTGGGATGGCGCCCACCGCACGTGTGGCGGTTTACAAAGTCTGCTGGACCGACGGTTGCTTCGCGTCCGACATTCTCGCCGGGATGGACCGCGCGATCCAGGACGGCGTCGACGTGCTCTCGCTCTCCCTCGGCGGCGGCTCCGCGCCGTACTTCCGCGACACAATAGCAGTAGGCGCGTTCGCTGCCGTTGCAAGGGGGATCTTAGTGTCCTGCTCCGCCGGGAACAGCGGACCCGAGAAGGCCTCGCTTGCGAACGTGGCACCCTGGATAATGACCGTTGGTGCTGGCACCTTGGACCGTGATTTCCCGGCCTTCGCCGTGCTTGGTAATAGGAAAAAATTCTCCGGGGTTTCGCTTTACAGCGGAACCGGAATGGGGACCGAACCGGTCGGGTTGGTTTATAACAAAGGGTTGAACCAGTCCGGGAGCATCTGCATGCCCGGTTCCCTCGACCCGGGTTTGGTTCGTGGGAAGGTGGTGGTTTGCGATAGAGGGATTAACGCGCGGGTGGAGAAAGGTAAGGTGGTGCGTGACGCAGGTGGGGTGGGGATGATTCTGGCGAACACAGAAGCGAGTGGGGAGGAGTTGGTAGCGGACAGTCACCTGCTACCGGCTGTGGCGGTTGGGAGGATCGTGGGGGATCAGATCAGGAAATACGCTTCCTCGGATCCTAATCCAACGGCTGTTCTAAGTTTCCGTGGAACGGTTTTGAACGTTAGACCTTCACCAGTAGTGGCAGCGTTTAGTTCCAGAGGGCCCAATATGGTGACGAGACAGATTCTGAAACCGGATGTTATTGGGCCTGGAGTTAACATCTTAGCCGGGTGGTCCGAAGCTATTGGGCCCTCTGGGTTGGCGGATGACACGCGAAAGACACAGTTCAACATTATGTCAGGTATATTTTGTTTCTCTCTCAGTGTTCTGTGTCCATCATTCAAATCTCCGCCATTGTTGTAATAACATTCTTGTATACCTAACAATAGGTACGTCGATGTCGTGTCCACACATAAGTGGTTTGGCTGCGTTGTTGAAAGCGGCGCATCCAGAATGGAGTCCCAGTGCGATCAAATCTGCACTAATGACCACCGCGTATGTCCATGACAACACCAAGTCCCCACTTCGCGACGCCGCAGGGGGTGCGTTTTCCACGCCGTGGGCTCACGGCGCTGGCCACGTGAACCCACACCGGGCCCTTTCTCCTGGGCTTGTCTACGATGCGTCGACCCGGGACTACATTAAATTCCTCTGCTCCTTGGACTACACCCCCGACCATATTCAACTCATAGTCAAACGCCACGGTGTTAACTGCACCACCAAATTCTCTGACCCTGGTCAATTGAACTACCCCTCCTTCTCCATCCTCTTCGGAGGCAAGAAGGTGGTGAGGTACACTCGCACCTTGACTAACGTGGGCGAGGCTGGCTCTGTTTACAATGTGACAGTGGACGCGCCGTCCACGGTGGGGGTGACGGTGAGGCCCACCAGGCTTGTGTTTGGGAAAGTGGGGGAAAGGCAAAGGTACACGGTGACCTTTGTGTCGAAGAAGCCTGCCGGTGGTGATTCCGGTAGGTATGCGTTCGGAAGCATTATGTGGAGCAACGCCCAACATCAAGTGAGAAGCCCAGTTGCTTTTTCTTGGACTCTGTTGTGAGAAGCTCTTCTCTTTCTTTCTGGGTTTCATTTTTACGCACAGCCATTGTTTCAAGAAACATTCATCATGCTGCTGATTGAGGCTTTTGTTGACTTCAGCCAACAGTGTAAAATTATTTAACGATTAGAAGGTTGTGTATTTCTTTTTCTTTTGAGAATTAAGAACAAAAATAGAGTTTGAGATTGAAAAGAAGGAGCCAGAAGAGATGCTCGTTTTGTTTGTTTAGTTGTGTGTATGCTGTGAAACTGATGTTACAAAGCTATGGCGTTTGATTGTATGTATAAAGTAAAAACTGGCTAATTATCCTTAAGAATGAGATTTCAGTTTACTCCCTAAATTTGAGCCTTGTGTATTTTAATAAGTGCAAAAGAAACAGAGTGAGATTTCATAAATTAATATTTACGACTTGACTGCACTACTTTTCTTTTTTTGCTTTTTGTCAAGCCAAGGGCCCAAAGTAGTTTTCGAAAAGAAAAGTTATGTACTTTATACTTTGATTAACACAAGCACAAATAATTATATATGGTAAGTTTCTCGAATATTATGATAAATAATTTAAAGTTCTACAAATAATGATTTGTGATAGGGATGATATAGTGAAAATTTATACAATGCACATTATATTCATTTTTAAATAGGTAAAATATGTCTTTAAAATATTTTATAATCTTAGTTTCCAATCCCTACAATTTTAACTGACTTTAGTTCTTATATTTATCACAAGCAAGTGCCTTAAGTTGACATATACAAGGGCTAAAATTTATTTGAATTGCTAGTTTCAGAAAAATTGAAAATTTAAGCACTGTCAATTTTCCTGTGGTCTTATGGGCTACGCTTACAGATATAGAAGCACTCCATACTGTGAATTTCTTTTGATTTTTTCTCTTTAATCAACTTGGGTGCAATTAATTAGAAGAGTGAAGGTGTTAATCTAGTTCTTCGACCACATTACAAACTGTGTCCTTTCTGAGTTATAACTTTGACCATAATTTCAAATGTTGTTACATCAAAATGCCCATGTCTATGTCCAGACGATTTTCAGCCCCTGTGCAGATCAAGGCTCTGAAGGGAAAAGACACTTCATATGTCATCAACAGTCACAAAGAAAAGATAGCAGCACATGGCGATCACATTTCTTCCACCACCAACTTTCTTGCTGGGTTAAACGAAGGTAGAAAAAGAAGGTAATATTCCTGACTTCAAAAGGGATTTTAAAAACATTTCTTTAAACAAATTCAGATCAATTAGCTCAAAGCTTTGGCCCGGTAGTTGATTTTCAGTGATGCTTTGTTTGCCAAAGTCCTGTGTAATTATCTCTTTGATTATCCCTTTTTACTTTTATTTCACTTTAGACTACTTTTGCTGGCTCAAACTTTTTCTTTCAAACCATCAGTAGGCTCAATTTGTTTGTTTACCAAAGAGTAAACTGAAATTTTTATTATCAACAGAAATCAAAGAAAATACGGGCATTGCTACCTTTGCAGAAATGTGATCTATCTGGGCAGCTAGTGCAATTGATAGATGGAAGGCAATTAGAACAGTAACTGCATGACTTGCAGTGGGAACAACACCTTGACAAGCTCTGATGTTCAAAGCACCAATCACTGCTATCAATGGCAGATCCAAGGCATGTTAAATCAGGGTTCTCACTGCACAAAAAGATCACTCATGTCATAGCTGCATCACAGCTACATGAGAAAATTTTAGCCATGATAAAAAACCAATTGCATTTTAATCACTTTTGATGGCAAAAACTAAAAATGATGAAAGTTGATGATGTGTCAAACTAGAGGAGTGCATTTTGTTAAGCACATGCACCAAACAAATTATAAAACCTAAAATAAAAACAAACCAGCTTATAAATTATTATCTGGTTTATTACAGACACAAGGGATAAACACAACACTGTTAGATTCAACAGATTGCAAGAATGAGACTAAGGATCAAAGGGGCTAGGAAAATAGGCATAGGTCAGTGTATTAGTCATCAAAGCTAAATCAGATTCTGAAAAACTTTGCATCATCTGATTATATAAAACCTGGTTAATACATTATAAGTACTACAACCAGTCAAATCAACACTGCTCAACAAATTGTTGGCATACATTAATGAAGAACCAAGTTTTATCCCAATAAAGAAGTTACCACAGCCACTTCCAGAAGCTACATAATCTACAATTCTTCCTGCACCTGTTTGAATGAGAAAGGCATTAGAATCATGATCTTTTACTTCAAACTAATTTGCCAAGAGAATTCCTTACTTAGGTAGAAGAGGATCTGAGTTTGCCATCACAAAATCCACAATCCTGCAATATTGTTACATTCAATTAACTTAGCCAGCAATAATAAAATCTTTTAAGCAATTTCTCTAGTCCCAGAATCTAAATGGCATACAAGAATTCTACACATTAAAAATCTGATTATCAAAGTATAACATATAATTGAAAGTAAATCTTTTTGTATAAATCAATATTATATAAATCTATTTTAATATATTTAACAATTTAATATTTTTAAAATTGTAAATTTGTGAATAATATTATGATTATTTTTTGTTTGACTTTTCTTCAATAAAATTGCATTATCATGTTGATAAATTAGGTAATTGATAGCCTCATATACGTGTTCTCTAAATTTCTCAAAATTACTATTTGCCGCGTCACCACGAGTCTCAGATTCTGGCCGCCACGTCTCACGAGCGCGAGATAGAAAACTGTGTCGTGAATGCTAAACTCTTGTATGGGTACAAAAGTCAACGAAATACTACTATTTAATTAAATTTTATCAAGCAACAATTATATTCTCTTTTAATGGTATTTTAATTAAAATTCGTCACTTAAAAAAATTATTATTTAATAATTATTTATTTGTTCAATAGTTGATATTTAATTAAGTTATTTTTTATTAAGAAATTGACGAATATCGTTTTTTTTAATCAAGTATTATTTCAATATTTTGTTTGTTTTTCAACGTTAATCAATGCAAACACAATATTTTGTCATATATCAACATGTATAACAAGTTTTTATGCGGTGAGATAGAAAAAAAAACGATATTATCTTAGAAAATGGACACGTAACTTTTACAAAATAATTTGTAATACGGTTAATATGAATTCCAAACATTTTTATCATATACCAATGTATCTAGATACCCAACATGCTTATATTTAGGTTTCCTCCATATTAAAGCATAAGATTCGTTCAAATCTTCAATTATTCCTGTTTGAATTTCATGTTTGATTAGCTCTACCAAACTATAAAAGCTTGCCAACAGTATTTTGAAAACCATTATCAAAGTACTTTATTTTTTGTCAACATTGCCGCGAGACTTCTCTGATTGAAATCTCAAGGTTTTGGTTTGAAAACCCCATATGGAAATTCAATCTACCATAACTAAAAGACCATTCTAACACGCCTACGCATGCTATGGATTGAGCTAATTATGACGAAGAGAGGAGAGAGAGAAGAGAACCTGTTAAGCAATTTTCCATATCTCATCCACAAGCAACTAACCTAAACCAATAATATGCCTCGTAAGATTCTTCTATCTCCTATACGTCAAAGCTTGCCAAACCTGCATAGGGTACAAGCATAAACCAAAGAAGTCTAGTCACACAAGTGAGGAAAGCCTTGTTTTCAACTCTGACTTATTAGTATACCATTTCTTGCAATCATAGGCCCCAATGCCTTGTGTATATATAAAAACTAAATGGGTGGCATTTGGGGAAAGCTTAGAATTGCAATTATTGCGAGGACGTAGAATAATAGAGCCAAGAAGTTTAGGGTGTTTACATACAAAGATACCTAAAGAAAGCATCAACGAATATGATGCCTGTGATTAGCAAACTGTACTGTTCATCTTCTCAGACGGTGCTGGGGGTCAGGAGGAGGCCACATATGGTGAATGGAGGGGGTTTTGTGGTCACGGATTGCAGTGGCCAAAGGGTTGTTTTCAAGGTTGATGGCTGTGGAATTCATGGCACAAAGGAACAGTTGATTCTAAGAGATGGGGAAGGAGATGCTTTGCTTCTCATGCGTCGAAAGGTATATATATGCATAGGTGTGTCTGTGTAAAATTAATAATCTTGATGAAGTTTCTCACAAACTATGCATGTTTTGTTGTATGCATACATCATGTAATTTTGTAATTAGGTTTCGATTTCTAGATATTGGTGGTCAAAAAAGATTATTCTCTTACATGCATATATCAATCAGTATCTTGGGATATCAATCTTTTCACTCTCGATTTAGATATCCTACGTTTACCTATATACATATATATAAACGTGTGCATGTTTAATGTTTTAATTTGCTATATCTAGGGAGTTTTACTTTTAGACACAATGCAATCTGCATGAGATTGATCTGCTGCAATGAAATGGTAAAATTTGCAACAACCAAGAAGTTAACATTCTGTGATGTTTTCAGGGAGGCATGGTTGAAGCCCTAAGCATTTACAAGAAGTGGAAAGGATATAGCCTAGACTATGAAGGATTACAGACCCTGGTTTTCAGCTTGAAAGAGCCCAATTCTTGTTTGGTCAAGAACAATGGGATTAGAATCTCCATTGAGCCAAGGGCTGCCAGTAATAAAGGCTGGGACTTTGAGATCAGGGGTTATTTCCCTGACAGGAATTGTAGCATTGTTGACATTAGGGGCAACGTAATTGCCCAGGTACGTTGTTTTTCAAATCTTTTCTGTAAATTATGTGTATCATGACACTGATGAGTTGTTCATTAACATGTGTTGGGTCCATTTATACACAGGTTGGGGTGAACAAAGAAGTTGAGAAGTTGATGGAAAGTAAGGATCTGTATAATGTGGTGGTGAAACCTGGGATGGATCAAGCTTTTGTTTTTGGAGTCATCGCAGTTCTTGACTACATTTATGGTGAATCGACCTGCTGCTAACTCAGAAATTGTGCAGAGCAGAGCCTGCTATGCTTGTTGAATTATTATTGTATAAAACCAATAATGGTTTGATTTTCTTATCATATATATGAAATATTATTATGGAAAGGAAATTGGACCGTTTCTTACGTTAAGCTAGTGCTTATTTGTTTGCTTAAATCGCGTAATTGTTTGACTATGATGGAACTGAAAGTTGATTATTTAACTATTGTTATTATTCCTTGTGCTTATTGGATGGTGATGGATATGAATTTGAAAAGTTTGGGACTGAATTAATTGAATAAATTAGGCACGAAATTGGATAATTTTGGTTAAAAAAGAATCTGAAGAATTTTGCATTCATGCGTGTGTAATATATTCACGTAATGATTAGTTTTTGCGTAGTTGATATCTGAGATTTTATTCAAGTTGAAACCAATATATTTTAAGGATGTTACTTTTTGATGGAATATATTTTAAGAAAATACAATTTAAGAGTAAATATCTTTATTAAAATGACAGTGGTTTTGTTTATGATAAAAAATCTTCCAACTTTTATTAATTACTAATGAGGTTTCTCTACATGAACAGAGTTGATGCGATTCTCTTTAGCAAATAAAAGATGATTCTAAACCTAGGATTCGTGGAATTTTCACCTAACTATACAAGAAAAAAAGTTCAGTTGGAATCTTACGAACATAAATTGTGGAAGATTTATAATAATATTATTAAGGTTAATTTTTCAAGATTTTATTTATTTTAAATTTTTTAATCATGATTTTATTATTAAAAAAATTATTATGTGAATTAACGGTTCATTTGAGAGTTTTATTCTATACTGTTTTATCTTAAAAATATTTCAATAAATTAATATATATATATATATATATATATATTTATTTAATTAATTTTTAAATGACCTAAAAATTATCTTTCGGATTAAACATAGAAAAAAGAAATTTTGCGATGTTATGGTAGATATACACCTAGTCTATGATAAAATATAGTAATACAAAGTAGATATTGGATCTACACTTACATTAATACGTAGGTTTTTGTATTTTGTATCATATATATGTAATATCTCTATCTGTTTTTTTCTTGAAAAGAACAAAATGTTGAGACAATAAATAAATTGGATGTGGTTTCATTTTTATAAATAAGAATGAAAGTTATTTGAAGAAATTTTAATTTGAAAGTAAATTACATATTTATATTTAATTTTATTGGACATGAAATCAACAATATGCCACCTCAAAATTGTATTCAAGTTCTTCAAAGTTTGGTAAAGTAAAAGTATTGAAAAAGTAGGTCCCATGGTTGCAGAATTCGTGCTCCATCGTCTTCTATTTCTTCGCAGATGACAAAAACAGCGTTGGGGGCGATGGCGAAATCACTTATCTTCAAACTCACTTTTGCTAGTTATTTTATTGAGGTTGTTCAGCTTTTCTTGCTCTCTGGATTTTGTGATGAGTCATGTTCTTGTGATTTTTTGAACACCATGAACCTTCACAGAAATTATTGCATGCCTACCGATTTCAAATAATCCATTCTACAGTGGAAGAAAAAAATATGATAATTTCATTATGTTATGAAGGTATTTTATTAATCATATTTTTAAACTAAATAATCTTATCATTTTCTTACTTTTTTTATTTTATTTTTTAAATAAAATAATTTATATTTTTACTCTAATTTTTGTTGGCATACTTACTTTCTTTCCATTTATTAAGCAACGACTAAATGACAAAGAAAGTTCATGACTTTCGTTTATATCAAAGAAAGTATTAATTAATAAATAATACCTAATCAGAAATGATAATCAATTAGAAATAATCAATAACGGATAATAAATAGCAGATTGTAGATAACAAACAAAAAGAAATAAATAGTAAATAGTAAATGATTAATTACAAATAATAAACATAATTAACAGTAGATAATAAATACAAAATACAATAAATAAATATTAATATTTAATATAATAATTAGTAATTAATATTTAACTAATAAATAAGTAATAAAAATAAATATTTACAAAATAAATAGTTTCAAAATTTTTTTGTATCTTCCAGTAAAGCTTTGATAAAAGAGATTTTTATAATAATATAAATAGGAAATGTAAGTATAATTTATAAAAAAAGATATTTTTTTAAATAATCATTACTAGAATGAACACATTCCCTTATACCGTTCATACTTAGATTGTGATATCAAATTACAATTATTTTACTATTGTGCATGAATTATCTATAATATGTATGAAAAACCATTCAAAAGAAGAAAAAAAAGATAGTTATGTAAATAAAATAAAATTCTAAATGTAAAAAAATCATAAAACCCAACCTCTTATTAATCACTTATTAATAATGTAAAAACAGTTATATTGTAAAAATGAGTTAACTTCACTATTCAATGCATTTGAATCACAGAATCAATCTTCAGTTAAACTCATTAGAAAATTCATATGTAACAAGTCCTTAAAAAAAGAAGACAAAATTAATGATATTTTAATTTTTTAAATAATAGCTGTGAAGTATATATATATATATATATTAAATAATATTATCTGATATTGTTAAAAAACTTAAACCTATGTTTATTTTATGCATATTTTTAAATTTAATAACTTACAAAGTATTTTATTTTAATTTTTAATATCAATAAATCATAATTTTTCTATTAGATTTAAGTTATTATTATTTTATTAATATTAATTCATCAATAATGCAATTTTTAAATCTAAAACTAATAATATACATTCTGGTCCGGTGTTGGAAACGACAGTATTCAGATTTGGCAGATCATCATGGTTTCCCCTCAATCTTATCGTTTAACCTAACATATGCTTTTATGCCACGTCACCTCTCAAATGCGAGCTTTTATACAAAAATAATCCCCCATAACGTTCCAGATCTCGTGTCTGTCCCTGTCAGATGAGAGAGAGCGAAATTATTATGTAAAAATATAGTCTTTATGAAAATATATGTATGTTTTTCTATATAAATAAAGTATATCTTCCACCGCTTTCTCAATCAAACACAACACTCTCACACGTAACTTTTATCATTTGGTTGCAAAGAAAATGGGTTCCGAAAACAAGAGCTTGGAGTTTTTGAACGAGATCGGGTTGAGTTCCTCCAACATTGGCTCTTACATTAATGGGCAATGGAAAGCCACTGGTTCCTCTGTCACTTCTGTTAACCCTTCTAACAATCAGGTTCAATTTCTCTTTATTTTATTTTTTTAATTTTTATTTTACATTATTCTCGAGGGTTTTTTTCATTGTCATGTATGTGATTGTTGGTGATTTGGAAATAGACCATAGCTGAAGTGACTGAAGCTACTTTGCAAGATTATGAGGAGGGTTTGCAAGCTTGCAATGAAGCAACCAAGACATGGATGACTGTGAGTTTTTTTATTTTAAAAAATTAGTACTTTGTTTATGTAAAAGTATTAGGTTTGGTTTTAGTTACATAGTAGAGTTTTTAGCAAGTACTGAATCTACGTAATATTGGAACGAATTAAGGATGTTCATGTAATGCTGTTGCAGATTCCGGCACCAAAGAGAGGTGAGATTGTAAGACAGATTGGTGAAGCTTTGAGGGCCAAATTGAATCCTCTGGGTAGGCTTGTGTCTCTTGAGATGGGAAAAATTCTTGCAGAAGGAATTGGGGAAGTTCAGGTATCACAATTATCTCTATTCTGCAATATTTTGTAACAGAAATCAGAGTTTAGATTGTGTATGATAGTCCAAACTTCTTTGATGTTAAATAAAAAAGAAGAAGTGATGATATCAGCTACTTCTAATTAGAACATTTCTGATGTATTTAGGGACAACCTACTTTATATTGTTCTGATGACATTTTATGCCCTGTAGCTGATCATGTTGCTATTCGTCTGGCAAATGTTATTAGAAATGTGAACTATTTGATAAGTATTTTCCATGTTTTTTCATGGGGTCTTCCTGCTACACCTATTTAATTACGTATACATTTTTTTCCTCGATAACATTATTTTCAACTAATTGAAGGGTTTCTCAGAACATAATCCTAATTTCTACTCTAAATAAAATGGTTTATCCAGTTTGTTAGTAAATTTCTTATGGAGTTATTTGCTGCATCTTCTTGGCTTGTTCCCTATATTTGGTCCTTTGAGGGTTTTAACTTTTCAAAGTTGCTTTATTTTTGCTGTTGGGAGCATTTCAGAAATAACTGGTGTGTATATAGGGTCATGGCACTCTAAAAGAATTTTAGTGCCTTTTCTAACTATGCACAGAACTAAATTAATCACTTCACCTTCTAAATGAGAAAATTGTTGTTGAAAGATTTTGCGCATACCATTTTTATATGATATACTTTCTGAACTTCCTACCCGATACAGGAAATTATTGATATGTGTGATTACGCTGTTGGGCTAAGCCGGCAATTGAATGGATCAATTATACCATCAGAACGTAAGATTGTAGTGCAACTAAATTAATTTCTCATCTTTTCTTTATAATCCTTTCTGGTTATGTAGTTGTTTAAAATACGTTGTAATCAGGGATATTCTTTTGTTTTGATGTTGATTTCTCTCCAAGAAATTCCAATTCTGATTTATTGTTTCTTCTGCTTGTCTTTTAACAGGTCCGGATCATATGATGTTTGAGGTGCGTGTGTGAAGTATAATTATTCGCTAAATTTTGTACCGAGTTATTGCTATTAACCAAAGCAAATGATTTTACACCACAGGTATGGAACCCATTAGGAATAGTTGGTGTAATCACTGCATTCAACTTTCCATGCGCTGTTCTAGGTATGTTTTTCTCATTCTGTTTTAATGCAAATAGCAACAAATTCCTTTGGATCTTAGATATCAGTTCAATGTTACATATAATCAGATTGAACATTTTAGTGCATTCATTCACTGTCATTTTGGCATGTATTTTAAACTTCACCTGAAATTGAAAATCTGTTTTGCCTAGGAGTCATCTTGATTTCTGATCAACTGGATTGTGTGAGTGTGAACTATCTTTCTGATAAAAGTACAGATTATCACCAATTCATTAAACCTGTTATCATTCAATTCATCTCCGTGTTTGAATCACATTACAGTATCTCTGTCCTTTTATTGTGCATTTCCATTTGATGATATGTCTTAGCCTTTTCTTAGTTTTTAGCTGCACTAGATATAATACGAAAATATTCAGATTAGGGATTAAAACTTTGAATCTTTGTGTAACAAACATGCTACCAGTTTCATTACCGACCCTACTTTAAATAAATAGATGGATGCGGACATATATGAGCAGATATCTTTCTTGAAGCTTTTCTATCTAATTTTACTGCATTTTGCTCCAGACAATCCACTTTCAATTGAATTTTTTAATTTTTTTATTGTAATTAAAATATTTTTATTTCTGTTTTGCTTCAGAATGGAATGCCTACTTTCTATGCTCTGAACTTTTTAATATTTTTATTATAATCTATACATGTTAGCATCTGTTGTGCCTCAGGATGGAATGCTTGCATTGCATTGGTCTGTGGCAACTCTGTTGTGTGGTAAGTTTATCTCTGTCTGTCTTTATATTTTACGAGATTGGTCAACTGGCCATTTTATATCAGGTCATAATTGTTTTGTGAATATTTCGTGACCTGTCCAATATTTTTCTTCTCTATTTTCTTGTGATTATTGGCTCTAATAAAAAATATGTAGAGTTCATGACAATTTTACCTGGTTGTGTTCCACCATTATTGTTGACTCTATCCAATACTTCGGTTCTTGATGCATTAGTGTTTAGTTGTATGTATTCTATCAGCACCAGTTAGTATGATTGGTCAGAAACAGGGATATGGTAAACATCTTCTTTGACTTTTTAGGGCTTTCCGGTAACTACACATTTTTTTTAAGGAAATCCACCTCTTATCTTTAACCTAATTTATTAACTGAATATACCTTAGATGACAATGTTGGTGCTGAAGCAACTGGAAGTTTCAGACGTGATATTGTGCCCTTCAACTACTCCAATTGCACGTCCTAGACTTATTTTCATTTTCAACTCGGTGCAAAAATTCCAATGACATCAACCCATGAAACCTATCCCTCGTAGTGAGATAAGGCACGGTGGTGGTGGTTTTTTATTGTTGTTCACGAAATGGTTATGTTTAAAGTGCTATATATTTTTGTAATTGATAGGTACCAATAAATGAGGTAAAAACAGACATGATACCTGCATTGATATGGGAAAGTTCAGGTCCAAATCAGTGCGATGTCAAATCCTGGAATTCTAATTACAGTGAGAAATTGCAGAAAGAAATACAACTTCTGGAAAATTTGGTAGTGCCTAGTCTCTCCCCTAGTCATTAAAGATATCCACTGGGGGTTGCTTAGAGGAGTTCTTAAGAACAAAATATATTATTTTGATATGGGTCTAACAGTCTAAATTTCTTAAAAAGTTAGAGTTGCTTATAAACAGCTAAGCAACTCTCACCTGCTTTGAAGTAACACTGATCATGAGACCCTTACCAAAATAATATGTTTTATTGCTAAGAATTCTTATAAGTAACTCCTACAGGAGATACTTTAATAATTTTCTCAATAAATTCTCAATTAATTGCTGTCGCCTGACCTCCATGTATTATGTAACAAGTCCCACACAAGGCCTCCTTATCACCCCCTTCGTGGTTAGTCCTTCTCGAATTGGCTGACTCTCAATAAAAGCATCAATATAACAGTCATAAGACTAAGGAGGGGAACCATCCCTCAAAAGCCGCCCCAAGAGGGTGGAGAACCTCCCATCTTATAAGGCCTCCTTGGTAAGGAGACCTCTTCGATGTGGGACTTGTTACATATTCTCTTATCACCCCTCAGTCCTCATGTTTATGGTTATCAAACACTAGCAAACTCTACAGTCCTGGATCCAAGAAACAGGGTTTTAATTCATTTGCAAACTTGTTTTTTAGTAAGCTTGTGTAAACTTGAGCAAAGTCAAATTCATGTAAAATCACAATTTCAGTGGCAGTTCTGTGAGTACTGTTGGGCAGTTAAAATTGGCCCAAAACGATGCTGGGTTTGAGCAATTTTTGGTCGTGATTTATTCTGAACAGAGACCTAGGGTATTATTCTACTTTCTTTGTTGGGTTCTTACATAAATTTTAGAGACACTAAGCCTTGGGTCCTCATCAGTAGTTCAATCATCCTTTACTTCTAATTTATCTACATAACGGTTGTATGCTTATTGCTAAGGTTCTTCTCTTTGCCTACCCATTCAGCCCCCTACCCCCAGAAAATGTTCATATTATATACACAGACAAGAGAGAAAGTCTATCAGAAAAGGGTATCAAATTATCTTTGTTGGTACCAATTATCCAGATCTGTATGGATATTTTTGGGTGATATGTATTCTCACTTATCAGATTATTGAGTGTTTCAATTTTTTAATGGCAATTGTGTTATCTTTATAATATGTTATTCTGATTACCATATACATTAAAGGAAGGGTGCTCCAACAACTCCTTTGATAACGATTGCCGTGACAAAGCTAGTAGCTGAAGTTCTTGAGAGGAACAATTTACCTGGTGCAATATTCACCTCTTTCTGTGGAGGTGCGGACATTGGTCAGGCAATAGCAAAAGATACACGCATTCCCCTGGTTTCATTTACTGGAAGTACAAAGGTACTTAATGTTCTTAGTAGTTGGACATGATGTTTTAAACTGCCGATAGATTTTTATTCCTAAGTTAAAAGATGTAGAGATCTCCTAAATGATGCTCAGTTTAGTTGCCTCTAGTACTCTAGTGGTATCAGTCTTATTGTAGTCTGTCTATAAAATTATGTGATATCTAACATATTAAATCATCACCCTTTTCCTGCAACCACTTCCATGTATCATGTACTGTGTAATCATGTATGTTGCCCTACCTCCCTAATAAATAATTATTTATAGAAACTATGCAAATTTTAATTTATTTCAGAATGAGTTGGAGGTTACGATCTTATGGTGTTGAGTTCATAATGATGTTTTCCCTGTTATTTAGGTGGGCTTGATGGTCCAACAAACAGTTAATCAGAGATTTGGTAAATGCTTGCTTGAGTTAAGTGGTAACAATGCAATAATAGTCATGGATGATGCAGACATTAAACTGGCTGTACGCTCTATTTTGTTTGCTGCTGTGGGTACTGCTGGTCAGCGGTGTACAACCTGCAGGAGACTGGTATTTGAACCAATTTAAAAAATTGAATTCATAATTTTAATGCAGTCATATGTGATGTGTTTAGTTATATCTATTTTCTTAATTCAACTGTTTGTGCTGCAGTTTCTGCACGAGAGTATTTACACCAATGTACTTGACCAACTTACTGGACTCTACAAGCAAGTCAAAATTGGGAACCCCTTGGAGAAGGGGACTCTAGTTGGGCCATTGCATACTCGTACTTCAGTGGAAAACTTTCAGAAGGGTATTTCAGTCATAAAATCCCAGGTATATTCCATGTTTCTCTTTTCTAGTTAAGTTATATATTTAGGGGATGTAACTTTCTTGTCTGTAATCTTGCAAAGTAGGATATGCTATAGACGATGGATTGGGTGCTTGTATTATCTGTGAAGATTATTTACTTGATACTCTGAATCTCTGATTATCAGGGAGGGAAGATCCTCACAGGTGGATCTGTAATAGAGTCAGAAGGAAATTTTGTACAACCAACAATTGTTGAGATTTCTTCAGATGCTCCTGTAGTTAAAGAAGAATTGTTTGGTCCAGTACTTTATGTTATGAAATTTCAGGTACCATATATTATATATCTTCTTTCTACTTCTTTTGGAAGTTTAGTGTATGATTGAACTTCACTATTTTCTACTTAGACTCTGGAAGAAGCAATTGCCTTGAACAATTCCGTACCTCAAGGATTAAGTAGTTCAATCTTCACACAAAGGCCTGGAACTATATTCAAATGGATCGGGTAAATACTTATTAGCTACTTGTCATATCCTGTGCAGATCCCTTCGAATGAGTTTTGGCGCAGACACTGTAGTTTTGGCGCATAAACTGTATATTTTTCTTGTTCATGGGTGTGAATATGGTGCAGGCCACGAGGTAGTGATTGTGGTATAGTGAATGCAAACATACCTACAAATGGAGCTGAGATCGGTGGTGCCTTTGGTGGAGAAAAGGCGACTGGTGGTGGTCGTGAAGCAGGAAGTGACTCATGGAAGCAATACATGCGTCGTTCTACATGGTAAGTTGTAGTTGAATCTATGATGTTGCATTCATTGGTTATAAGCTCTGTTAATGGTGAATACATCTTTTTTTCTGTTCATGGTCTTGATGACATTACAATGGCTGTTCTTGGCAGTACCATCAATTATGGAAGTGAACTACCATTAGCTCAGGGAATCAACTTTGGTTAGAGAGGCATCCTTGTTACATGAGGATGCACTACTGCAAATTTGCAGGCAGAAGAGAGAAGTTCTATGACCAGATTTTAGCCTGTGTCGCACCTGACATGACAGCTTCAATGTATTGGACTTTTTAAATAAATTTGATGCAAAATAATCTTATTTCCCAATAAAGTATCTGACGATCAAACATGACTCAAGTAGAGATTCTGATATTTGAAAAATCACATTTTTTTTATTCAATTGCTATATATATATATATATATATATATATATATATATATATATATATATATTTTTTTTTTTCATTTTAGTTTTTATAGATAACTAAATATATTTATTATTTAATATAAATAGAAAAATTAGCAATTTCAAAATTATTAAGCATATTTATTATCTTCCTTTATAGATAAAATCCTTATTTATGATATATTATAAGTTATATAATTTTACAATCATTAAAAATTAAAATATCAAAATTAATATAAAGAAGATAAATTATAAGCATCTCAGTAAATCATAGTTATTTTTAATAAAAAATATGTAAAGTAAATTATTGAATAAAAATAAAAAAGTATAATTATCTTATTTTAATTCACTGAAATATATGACTTAATTAAATTATATATCTAACCTAATTTGAAGTATTTTTGTTTTAATTATATTAATTAATATTTTCTATTTTTAATATTAAACAACTATAGTTAGTAAGAAGAATTTAAAAGAAAGGATTGAAAATTTTTAAAAATTAAAACCAAAAAATTATTTTTGCAGGATGAAAAATAGCTATAATAATATTTGCCCATACTGAAAGTACATTTGAACCTATGAAAAATTAATAAATATAGCATTACCATGATTTTAAGGAAAAGGGTAACATCAAGTTTTTAAAAACTCTAAAGAATCAAATTGAGCCATTAAAAACAAAAAGAGAGACATAGTTATATTTTATAAATAAATAAAGATGATAAAATTGTAATTTAACCTTTTAAAATAAACTATCAAGATTATAAAAATACATGATAAAATATTCCATTGCATACTTTTTTTAATTAGGAACTTAAAGCTTTTAAACAATTTAGGAAGTAATGGAAAGATTTTAATTCAGTCAAAGAATTATATTTAATTGACTAGTAAACACTATTTGCCATGAAACTTTGACTAGGGATTTACTTTTGTGCATTGATTTCTTTTTATCATGATTTGTTCATTGATTTTGTCTAACAGTTAACTTAGTATTTGAGTAAAATTTATGAGCAAAACATTTTCACATTTAACAATATTAAGATTCATCAATAACTTACGTATATGACTAAAATTTCAGAGGAAAAAAAAATCCACAAACATGATAAGATTCAGCAATAACTTAAGTATACGACTAAAATTTATTCTGAGAAAAAAAAAATTGCACGTAACTTGACAAGATGTGACGTTAAATGAAAAGATTATTATTTATGTAAAAAATATATATTTTTTAATCTTGTACTAATTTTAAGAGAGTGATACTATGTATCTATATATAAAGTAAGATATATAAAATATCTTATAATCATAATTTTTGCTTTAGGAAATTTTAGTTTGAAATCTTAAATAATGTATTTTACGTTTCACAATTTTCACTCTCATCTATAAGTCTGTCACTTTTAAGATTTTGGAGAAAAACTAGTCATGCTTCGAGAGACGTTCAGGTCCCACAAATTTGATTATTGTGCTTGAGACAAAGAAAGATAGGATATTAACAAAAGAAAAGTCATGCTTGAATCATGACCACACAAATTGTTGAATAAATGGATTCACATGTGACTCAGATTTTTCCAACAGTTAGCAGAATTTTGGAGCACTGACTCAGACAACATGGCTTCCTTAATAACAGTGTGCTCGAGCTTTGTTCTAGCAGTTTTAGTAGCTCTCACAGTTCAAATCTTGTACTTCTCACCCATTGATCCACTTCTGCATGATCTAAAACCTGCCACTTCAACCAAAGACAACAAATTAAAGGTGAAAAGTTAATACTTCTAACATGGTTTTGTTATGGTGTTGAAGAAATAGTATTTACTCGGTACTTTTCTATGCAATGGTTCTTTGTTTTTCTCAACAGAACATCATTAAACTTGGAGAAGGGTTTCTGAAGGAACCAGAAGATGTTTGTGTGGATAAAGAAGGGACTCTTTACACAGCTACTCGAGATGGTTGGATCAAAAGATTGCGCAGGAATGGAAATTGGGAGAATTGGAAGCATATGGGTGGTGAAACCTTGCTAGGAATCACACCAGCAAAAGAAGGTGGCATCATTGTTTGTGACACTTCCAGGGTAAAGTAATCTCTTAAGATCTTGAATAGCAAGAAGAGCATGCGTGGCTATATGTTTAGTCTCTGAGATTTGGACAATAACTTGCTTGAAACTTAAAAGGCTTTAATGCAGAAATGTATAAAAATGTGTGCTGAAAGATTAAGAAAATGATTATGATTTGCAGGGTTTGCTTAAGGTTACAGATGATGGTTTCACCATTATCGCTTCACAAGCAAATGGTTCTCAAATAACGTTAGTACTACTCTCCACACAATTCATATGCAGATTGCTTTGTGTTTTTAGTACTTCTGTTCTTATCACTCAGATTATCTTTCATGGTTACTATGTTTATATCTTAAAAAATGTGATTTTTTTTTTTGAGTTAAAGTGAGTTTAAATTTCACATGGAGGAGAAATAAAAAACTAAAAAAAAAAACCCCATAATTTAATGTAATTTTAAATTGAAATGAAGTAATATATTGACTTAATGATAAGAATATCTGAAATTCAGTCAAATAAAAATGTAAACGTGATAATTCCATTTAAATAACTTATAAAGTCATTTATCTTAATTTTAATTTATAAAATATTATATAATTAATTTATTTTAAAACTAAAATATTCATTAAACTTTAAAAATAATCGCATTACTATACTTATTAAATTAGAAGACTTAATTAAGTTAAATAATTTTAAAATAATAAAATTACTATTTTATTCTATTTCTCAGTTATTTATACTCATTTCTTCTGCAATACACCATTTAAACACAATTATGTTTTACCTTTTTTTAATGTTTTTATCTTACTTAACCAAACACGCAGTAAGTTAATTTTTTAAAATACAAATATTTTTCCTAAATAATCTCCATCACTCATTTTCATATTTGATACAAAAGTCTAAATTTGGGTTGACTCAGAAATTTAGTCCTGTAATTTTTAAAAATTAGTTAGTAAAAAATATTTGAATTGTTTTCTAAAATTATATAATACCTTTCATTTCATTTTATTTAATTAATATATTGTAGTTAAAATATAAGTTAAAGTTCCATACAACGTGTAAATGAAAAAGTTGAACTATGTATGAATATGAATAAGAAAGAAAGATCCAAAAGTATATTAGTATGTAACCAAAAAACCCTACAAAATAAGAATTAACATGGAGTAATCATAATTAAATTTTGAATCCCCTAAACAGTTAATTTTTATGAGCATTATTTCCTTAAAATGCATGTAAATCATAAAGTAAAAGTTTGAATGCTTTGAAAAGAATAATGACATTGGTAACAGCTATAATTAAGGTAAAATTGAATGGAGTGAGCAAAGTATGAAACTGAGTGGGTATTGGCATGGTAACCAGGTTTGCAGACGATGTAATAGAAGACTCTGATGGGAATATATATTTCAGCATTGCAAGCACCAAATTTTATTTTCATGATTGGCATCTGGATTTCTTAGAGGGAAGACCCCATGGACAAGTTCTGAAGCACAATCCCTCCTCCAATGAAACTCTTGTTCTTCTCAATAATCTTGCCTTTGCTAATGGCGTTGCACTCTCCAAGGACCAACATTATCTTGTGGTATGTGAAACTTTTAGGTAAGTCTATTTCTTCATGCACATTCTTACTTTCTGCATCCACCTTATCTACTGTTTTCTTATTAACTGTTAGCAATTTCAAACTATGCATATTTTTCCAAGCAACACACTCTAATAGTATATTCACTTTGGATTATCATAACAATTTTGTTGTTGGTGTTAACCTTTTCGTGAATCAGATATAGGTGTGTGAGGCATTGGTTAAAAGGAGAAAAGAAAGGCACAACAGATATATTCATAGAAAACCTCCCTGGTGCACCTGATAACATAAATCTTGCTCCTGATGGATCCTTCTGGATCGCTTTGATCCAGGTATTATTGACATTCATTTTTTCCACGTAAACAGAGAGATTTTAATGTGTGATAAAATGTTCAAATCATGACCTTGAATATTGATGCAACAGTTGACTTCTGAAGGAATGGAGTTTTTGCACAAGTATAAAATAATGAAGCACCTGCTTGCTTCATCTCCAAGGGTGATGAACCTTGTGAGTGGTTTAAAGAAGAAAGCAATGGTGGTGAATGTGGGAAGTGATGGGAAGATAATTAGAAAGTTGGATGATGGTGATGGGAAGGTCATTAGTTTTGTGACTTCAGCTGTGGAGTTTGAGGGCCATCTTTACTTGGGTAGTCTTTCTTCCAACTTTGTCGGAAAATTACCACTATTGAGTGCATAGAATAGTGAAGTTCATGCAAAAGAAGCATCTCCTTGTATGTATGATTTAGATTAAGCTTACAAGGTAGACTACCCAATTATAAATCCATAGAAAACAATTATGTATTCTCTCAATTAAGCAAATTTAATTAAAAGGTCTCAGCTTGTTTTCTTTCAAGTTTCACTTGACTTTTTTTAAAATTCTCACCATTATAATTGTTTATATTTCATACTAGATTTTCCTTCAAATTATTTATAAAAATTAGCATAAATGAGTTTATAGTGTAAGACGCGCAAAAATTTATAAAAAGTCTTAAGAAATATGAAAAACTATTTTCAAAAGTCAAACATATAGGTTTATTAGCTCAAACAGGTTAAAGGGTAACTTAGGTGATCAACAATTACACACACACTTCAGTTAATTTTCCATAACCGTTAAATGAAATCAACTAAAAATAAAAAATTAAGAATAGTTTAGAGACCTAATTACAACCATTTTAGCAAAATGTAACTGTATCATTTTTACTCTACTAAAAAATCAACTTCAATTTTTTTTAAAGGAAATTATATGATTAAACTTTAAAGCGATGTAGAGATTTTATCGATCAATAATAAACATTATTGTTCTTTTAAAAAAAAAAACTAATAGTCTCAAGTTATCAGCCTGTCAAAACTTCAACAAAATAATGTCTTCGAAGAAAAAAAAAACTATAATTTTATGTAATTTCACAAGCACTCATTAGAATGAAATTTATTATAAATTTCAAATGATTAACTAGGTCTGTCAGTTTGTTTTTTGGTTTGCTCTGATAACAAAGCACAAGCGGAGTATAGAGTGACATGTTCAGAAAGTTGCTTTTACAATAAGGACTTTTGACCTGTTCAGTTACTTATTTCATAAACTTCAAAATGTTTCTTTTGTAAAATTAAAAGGCTAGACTTAAATATTATAGCTCTTGAAAAGCACATTAGCATTCAACTAAAGGTTGCTCCAACAAAACACTGCATCAATGTCCAAATGGACTTTTATTCTTATAAAAAGGCGAAAACTATTCAAACAATGCTAGTTGATTTATAAAACCGAAGTTGGCACTAGATATTATGCACCTAAAATCTGAACAGTTTAATAGTTAGCATCTACAAGGGTAAATTTACTGCATCCTCAACTTCTTTTCGACTCTTGAATGCTTCTTTGAGTCATTTAACTGGTCCCCTTTTGTTTTCCTACTATTTACGAATTCAGAGAAGGATGGTATTTGTGGCAACTTTGTATTATTAAACGAAGAGCTTTCCATTGGCACAATACATGGAGAAATTTCTGATCTAGCATTGCCCGAGTATTCATTGCTGGTATCTTTTGGACAAGGATCTAAAGCAGGTGGCGATTTGAGGGGTTGTTCAGCTGGTGTCAAGGGCTGTGCAGCTGGTGTAAAGGACTGTTCAGCTTCGGACACGACATTCATTGAGGCAGAAGCATTAATTGCACCAAGTCGGTCCATCAATTCGATAGAGCTAGCAGTCGTCAGCCATCTTACAGTACTTGCCACTTGAGAGTAATAAAATGATTTGCCAGTCTTGCCATATTTCTTGTAGCATTCATCTTCAAGGAAAGATGCTGACGTATCCACTTCAATCCTGAACAAATGTTTCAAAAGAATTAAGGAAATAGCTCACATCCCAATTGTCCTTGCTTTAATTTAGCTGTCATATAATTTAAGGTGATATTTATCATCATCACCATCGTTATTATATTATGGTGAAAGATTTAGTATTGGCTATTTAAATAATTCACCTATGGCATAATAATGTTATCTTTGAACAAGGTGCTGCTGCATGTCAAATAAGTTGCACACTTGTTATAGCAAAAACATATTGAGTAACTGAGTGGGTGTGTTTTTCAGTTATGGCAGAGGGGGTGGGACGATAGAACAAAAACATAAACAAGAAGGATGCTACACATACTTGAAGTTGTCAAGCCGTTGCTGAACCTGTTTTAGAGCGTTTTGTATCCTTTGCCTGCTTGCTCCTCGCATTGGATCAGAAATAGCATTTTTGTCACCTTTGCTGCTCTGCTATCAAATTAGGTGAGTGCGTATACATACAAAATAACAATTATTCTCATTGATCTTAACAGTAATGAACTTCGAAAAGAAATAGGCAGAGACTACAAAAAGAAATGAAGTGTCTTTCCCAATACAGATTGCTTATCAGAACAGTTTCTGCTATGTTATCACCCGAAGGTGCTAACCATGGAAAATAGCATAAAGAATATGGAGAATCTGAGTTGTTTTAACCAAAAATGTGGGTATAATTCAATAAAGATAAACCTGTTTAGAAGTGCTATTATTTCTATAGAAGTTTTCTTCAGCCCGTTGTAACATAGCAAGCTTTTCATTTACTCCCAATCTGGATTGAAGCTTTGATCTGGTTAGGTTGTTGACAACCTCATTACCATCTGCAAGTGAAAATTCATTCACGTGAATTATGGTCTAATAAACACTTATTCTCTCTCCAAGAGTAAAAACACAGGCAATCGAAATAAGTTATACCTTCTGAGTCAGATATATCTTCCTCTGATCCACTTGCTTCCTCACCCCGATTCCAGAATTCAGATAATTGTTCTCCATCAATTGCGTCAGTGGAACTGAAAAGTTAAATTTGTTTATCAATAGATCAGAAACTAGAAGATATCATTTGACTCGATTAATTAATATAGTAAAACGCAATCACCATCAGACCATACAATCCTCATGTTGGAGAAAACTACTTAATAGTCAATTGTTTTAATTCCATTGCTTTCTTTTCTTTTTATGTTTTTGGGTCATGGTAGGTCCTACAAAATCAAACACTTATATGGCACAATTTTGACCCATATGACCATATCTGATCTTTATGTCAAATGTAGTAACAAAACTAACCATGGCTTCTGCAGGTACATACCATTCATAAAATTTATTTTAGCACAAAACTGCAGCTACATTTACATAAAATCTGTTTTCCTTTGATCAATTTCAAGTTTAATTTCTAATGCATGAGAGGGTTCTTTATTCATGAATAGTACCTGCTTATAAAAACTCGAGAAGAACCATTTTTCTGGCGCAAAGCATAAACAGTTTTAAGGTCCTCCAAATATCTGGCAACTAAGTTTGCATGTCTGCAGGCATCACATGTTTTTCCACATAGTGACGCAGTTACCTGCTTATGACAATTGAAGTTAATAATCCACTTAGTAATTTGGCTTAACATGAAGCATGCCACGTATTTCATATCCATTTGTTTACCTGTTCCCCAAAACTCTCGAGAATCCTTTTCCTGCGACATCCAGATCCTTCACAGTATTCAACCACCTACACAGTTACATATACATTCTATTACGTAAGTACATAATGCAATGGTACATAGATGCTGTGTTAAAAAAAATCACCCAGAGACTTAATGTCACCTGATTGAAAGCAATCAGGGATATTTTAGATGATTCTTCTGGTGAACTAGAAGACTGTGACTTCTTGCTCCCCGATTTACTTAATATAAATTCCTGATACAGATAATAATTTAAGAAAACAGGTATAATAAGAAAAACAAGAGCAAAGTCTCTAGTAAGCCAACCATTCTTTTGCGATCATCTACCCCATAGTACAACAGACTTCTAGATGGCAATTGATCACGACCAGCCCGACCCGACTCTTGATAGAATGCTTCCATTGACTTGGGAATATTGAAGTGGCACACAATTCTAACATCCTTTCTATCAATGCCCTGGTAAATTTGAAGTTATTACCAGCAAATTGCAAGTATAATAAATAAAGAGTACAATACTAAAACATCACAGAAATTTTTAATTAAAATAATAGTAAAACACCTCTTACCATTCTAAATGAAGACCAAAGGCTCAGTAACTAAATGCAACAGCACAGCTCCAGGCAGAGATTAGGAAGAAAAGAAACAAATACATCACAACTTCAATAAATCAGAAGTTCTTTGCATCATACTAAAATCAGATAACGTTGTAAATATACTTTAACACAAGTGAAATATTCATACTCAGATTGCTAACCACATTTTTTTGTTCATCACACTTTGACCCATTCTGTTATATATTGTATAAATAAACTGGATTCTGTTAAGTATTCCTTAAATATGGAAAAGCATAATAGATGCCCTTAACGTTGGCATAAAATACAAAATAAATAGTGCGCAATGGTGATCAAAATAGTTTTACAGTGTTCACCAGGGGCAGCTGCTCCATGCTATACCTGTGGCATTACCATTTTTAAAGAGTAGCAGTATCGTAAACTATCTGCACCATTTACTGTTTAGGAATGTAACAACATCCCATCCCCTTGTATACGTATAAATACTCGTAATTAAAGAAAACAATCACACACAGTTTAGCATGGTCCAACCAAATAACCTTATATCAATATAAGAGTCCACTATCAAAATAAAATTACAGTTTAATTCTAGTAATTACAATTGGATGTTATAAGTTTTTTAAAAGCTGAAACAAATACATTTCTTCCCTGGAGCTCCTTCTTCAAATTAAGTATCAATTGGTAAACATGAATCCTATTTTCCAGTAATCCCCTTATAACCCGAGTCGCATTAAATAAGCATATGGCATTGTTAGTATTTCCACTCTAATTTTTTCTCTCATCTTAAGTTGAAGATTACAATTGCCCAAAACAAAAGCATTTAATCTTTGTTGCTCTAAAAGAATTCTTCTTAGTATGAACTTAATCAAATATGCTCCAATTTCTCTTAGACCCAATAGCACAACAAGTGAGACTCAACAATCTCATTGCTAGCTTTTGTAACTCTGCCTGTGACCTAAGCACAGTGTCACCAGTGTTGGCTCATGTCAGTTAACCACAAGTGTGGCCGCTGGTGATTATATTAAAGACATAGCAACTATAAACAAAAGCTGCAAAAATAATCTGCTGCTGAATATAAATGATAAACTAACAACTTATATCAAGAACATCGATTATAGAAACATCTCTTGGTAAAAAAATCACCAAAAAT